TGCGCGCGGAGGGTCCGGGCAGTGCGACGCCTGCTGCTCGGCAGGCGCTGGTCTAGGGCCGCAGGCCCCCCCATGCAGACCCTGGGCCGGGGCCCGTACCAGGGAAAGCAGAGTTGAAGGGGCCCCAGGACACACAAATAAACACACACACAAAGAAACCCATCCCCACATTCTCCCATATTTTCTGGGTTTTTGTCTCCCCCCCCCTTCCCATATTTTCCTATATTTTCCTGGGAATCGACGATCAATTGTGTCTGTGTGTTTTTTCCATCCCGATAAATGAGGGGGACAAATGGCCGGGAGACGATCTGCAGGCAGTGAGTGATGGCTGCGGGGCATGCCGGGGAGCGGGGGGGGGGATCTTGGGTGTGCGAGAGGAGAGGAGACCACAGAAGCGGGGTGGGGCAGGGAGGGATAGAGCGGCGTAGGGGGGGGATCGGTCAAACTCTGGGGGGGGGGCGGCACTCAATGTGCGTAAGCGCTCGCACCTGGTTGCATGCGCTGTCGCATCTGCGGCTGAGGGGAACGCCCAGACATAGTCGCGCGCTGCATGCACTGCTGGAGTTGCGACATGATCCCCACGGCCCAACCCCGTAGTTGCACTCTCCAGTCAGGTAGTTAATTGCCTTGAAAGGGACCTCGTCAAGCGACTCGTCGATGAACATGCGCAGCTGCCTCGCCTGCCCCCATACATGTGTCATTGGCTCTGAGACTCTCATAGGGCATCACGACGCCAGACTGGTAAGCAAGACCGACCACGCCCAGTCCACAGATCATGCCAACTATTATGCCTTCCAATGGGACACCCAGCGAGGCATGCCCGAGTGACACTACATTTTGGAAGGTCCCGCCTGGAGGGGCTACGCAATGCTTTAGCTACGCATCTGACATGGCTGTTGAGCAACCCCGCGCTCAGCAAGAGAGCCCAGAATCGAATTGATACGTCGGATCGGTGATCGAAATGGATCGAATCGGTGGAAATCGGCAGCCAAGTCGGGAGAAGTCGAATCGGCGGAAATCGGCAAAATAGTAGGCCTCCATTGAGAATCGGAATTCAATTCGGAATTTGAAGCCGAAGCGAATGGGAATCCGAAGCTATCGAGCTTGAATTGAATCGGATCGGAGGAATCGAAACGAGCCCTGGATCAGGGTATCTCCCCCCCTTCCCCTCAGTCCCCTCCCCCTGCATGTATGAGAATCGCCTGCTGGCAGGGTGCCTTCTTATCATCTCGGCCGCAGCCTGGAATTCGCCTCAGGACCACCCTCTAACATGAGAGGGCCGCCTGCACGAGGAGGGCGAAGAGGAAGCGCACGGAGGAAGAGGACCAATGCCACAGCTTAGGTCGGGCATGTCTTCCTACAGGCGGAATTTGGACGAAACATAAGACATACCAAACAACTAATCAACAATAGACAGAAATAATAGAAACATCGTCCCCAGACTATTTTTGGACTACTTTTGATTATTCCTCCTATGGAGGGACAGGCCTGACCTGAGCCTATGATGATGCAGCGCAGAGGGGGGGGGATGCACATCGAGCAGCAGCGGCAGCGATCAGCACACAGCCATGGCACGGACAGCGCGCGCATGGGCCCACCTGTGCTCCCCCCTCCTGCTCTTACATCCTGGACGCCTTCCATGGCTGCCCCAGGCTCACGGCGCCCCTTTTCATGGTCCCTCGCAACTCCACCCCACCGAAATCCGAAGATCATTTTGAGTGAATTCGTAGGGGATGTTCCATCCCAGTGGTCCGAAGAGTCGCCGCTCCTCCACCATCCGCGGCCCAACAACAACACTGGCAAGACAATTGCCATGAACACTGCAATCTCACACTCCATCGCGTCAACGGAAAGCGCCGTGCGACTTACATTATTGCCCCGACTACGCACAGTTCGTAAGCTACCAATTCGTACAAACTTTACCTTGGCAAGTGTATTATTGTTCCGATGCCTCAGCATGCTGCGAGTCTTTCTGGATAGATACCTGGGCGATGCCTGACGAGGTTGGATGCTTACCTCCTAACCTATCCCAAACGAGCACGTCAACCCTATGCTTCTATCATCGATCACCCTGCCCGTTGCCAACACACGAAATGGTGTACTCCCCGTGTCCTGGATCACGGCATGGAAAAAACAAAGCCCGTAGAGCAGCTTCTTGAAGGGCGTGGGCGACGTGCTCTTCTCAAAGAACTCCTCGTTGCTGATCGGATCCAGCAGGAACGACCCTGCCCCCTCCGCTGCTGCTGGTCGCGCCCCTCGCCTGCTCCGAGGCTCCGCTGGCCTTCCGAGCAGAACCCAACTTCAGGACAGCCCTCACGCGGCGCGACCGTCGAAACTCACGCCACGGCCTGCTCTCCAGGCCTGCCGCGGTGACGGCCGCGGAGCGCCGACTTCCAACCACCTTTGCCCGCGCAGCCGCTTCCGAGGCAAGCAGCCACCGAGGCAGTCTGCATCTCCCTCCGACCCTTCCCATCCACCCTTCCGGTGTTCCGCCTCCCTTCCATCGCATGTCTTCCAACCGTTCACTTCCAGCTGCTCTTTAATCCAGGCGACGGAACGCCCCCCTTCTGTGCTCATACTGCCCTTGCTGTCAAACTTGGCGCTCGGCTGCACATCGGAGGGCGCCCGTCGCTCCCACGTGTGCCCTCCACAGACGTGCCAAAGCCCCTGTCCTCACCATCGACACGATTCACAGAGCTGGACGTGGTTATACCCTGTCTCTCGCCGGCGGCGAGCGAGGGGGGAAATGAGGAGAAGGCGAAGGCCTTCTCGGAAGGCGGCGGGGGCTTCTCAGAAGCCCTCGCGCCCTCTGAGAAGTTTTCGGTGCCTTCGGGGAGGCTTGGTCGGGGGTCCTCTGACCCGGGTCAATCCAGACCCGGGTCAGTCAGGCCTTGCAGAATCCTGCACAATCCTGCAAGATCCTGCACCCAAACCCGGGTCGATGCGAAGGACCCTGCAAGATCCTGCAGGATCTTGCACCCAAGCCTGGGTCGATGCGGCCCTGGCCCTGCAGGATCCTGCAAGGTCGGGGCTCTGGCTGGCCCCCGTTTGCGTTGACCCCCGCCTCAAGGCTCCCGACTCGGAACACTTCTCAGAAGTCCCCGGGGGACTTCCGAGCCTTCCGACGAGGCCCGCCCCATTCTCACTTCTCCCCCTCCGCTCGCCGCCGACCTCGGCCCCAGACGGGTTCCGACTCGGAGGAGGAGGAGGAGGGAGGAGGAGGAGGAGGAGGAGGAGGAGGAGGAGGAGGAGGAGGAGGAGGAGGAGGAGGGAGGAGGGAGGAGGGAGGAGGGAGGAGGGAGGGGGAGGAGGGAGGAGGAGGAGGAGGAGGAGGAGGAGGAGGAGGAGGAGGAGGAGGAGGAGGAGGAGGAGGAGGAGGAGGAGGAGGAGGAGGAGGAGGCTGGGGACGCTCTCATGGCATCACCACCACTTAGACCCGTTCCGGGGTCACCCACCGCCGCCTGCTCTTCCTCCTCGACGTCCCGACGCCATGGGCACACGCACGACGTCGAGAACGAGCACGACTGGAACCCATCGGCCCCATCTCGATGGCAGCGCTGCCTTTTTTTCGAGCCAGGGACCTCTGCTTCGTGCGACTGTTTGCAGCAGCAGCAGTGCGTTCTATGGGGGACAGACTCCACCTGCTCGAAGCAGGCGCCCAAAGCAGCCAAGATCTGCTCCAGGGGGGGACTGGCCATCGCTCGGACGTCCATTCCCTGTGTTTTTTTTGGTTCCGTGCGCGGTTTTCTCGCCAAATGATCCAGGATGCTCCTCGACGGTCCTCGTCGATGAAAAAACGCACACGTCCGAGCGATGCCAAGGGGAGGGATGGGTTGGGGGTGCGAGAGCCCGCGCCGATCGGCTGGACAGTGAAGAGGCAAGCGACCACCAGAGGCCCCTCTCGTCTGCCCCGGGTGCCCCGCCGATGAGATTGGCGCGCAGGCCCTGGGGCGCCTCGTTGGTGATCTTGACGCCGCTCTGGAGCACGGGGACGGGGAACTTGTCCGACGGGTAGGACGTCAGCCAGAGCCGGAAGTCCTGTGCCCCCCCGGGGCGGAGGGCTGCACCTCCTCCTCCTCCTCCTCCTCCTCCTCCTCCTCCTCCTCCTCCTCCTCCTCCTCCTCCTCCTCCTCCTCCTCCCCCCCCTTCCCCTCCCCCTGGTCCTCTCCTGGCTGCCTCGTCCAGCTCCCTCCCCTCCTGCCCTGCCCGCCCCCGCGAGAGGGTCTGTGCGACACCGATGCCTGGGGGCCCCTCCTGTGCCCCCTCCTGGCCGCCTTTCCGAGCTGCGTCCAGCGGTGGCGACGAGGATGGTCCTCCTCCTCCTCCTCCTCCTCCTCCTCCTCCTCCTCCCTTCGCCTCCTCCCTTCTCGCCGTCCTTCTCCTCGAGGGTCGACGGTCTAAATATGTGACGTCTTTGGCCACTCTAGGCTTCCAGAAACACTCAAAGGGCCTCTGAAACCTCACGAGGGGCATGTCCGATTCCACTGCGCGATGTTCGGAGCGACCCCAGCCTGGCACCAGATCTAGAGCGATATAACCCACTGTCTCACATGTCACTGCCGATGTCTTCGTCGACGCGTTACGTGACGGTTCTGACAATTATACGCTGGCTCGGTGCCTATGCTGTTTCCTTACAGGACAAAGGAGCGGCGCCACAAAATTCCTTTGCAACGTCACGTGGCCGTGGAGAGGCCGAAACGATGTCAGTCCCTCCACCCTCCTCCGTGAAATCCGAACAAGAACAGCCGCCGGGGCTTCGCGGAGAGGCGGCATAATGAAGTCCTTTGATCTCGGGGTTGAGCAATTCGCCGGCCCAACGGGCCAGCTGCGTGCTAAGATCTCCACTGAAAGTTGAGAACATTTCTAGTTCGAGCCCCCCAAGAATGGCGAAACTCCCCGGGGCTGTCTCGGGCCCTCAAGAGGCTCCCGAGACGGTCCAAGAGGGCCCAGAATCGCTGAACGATCGGTCCAAGACGCCCGAAATTTCCTCCAGTCAGCCGGAAAGCGCCCAAGACGTCCCAAGAGGCCTTCAACAGCCTTCTCAAGAGGGCCCCGGGAAGCCCAAATCATTGACTTTTCTGAGGTATGTCAATGTTTTCGGGGTTCTCCACATTTCGAGCTTCCGACGCTCCAAGACGTCCCAAGAGGAACCGAGAATCCGAGCCTTCCGCTTAAAGAAACACCCAAGAGGCCCCAAGAGGCTCCCAAGATGCCCTCACGAGGCCCCAAGAGGCCCCCAAGAGGTTCAAAACAGGCCCCAAGAGGTCCAACACAATCCTCCAGATGCCTCAGAACTGCCTCCAGGAGGCCACCGACAGGCCTCGACGAGATCTCGGCGAACATCCACCAAGAGGCCTCAGACCCATCACCCACCCAAGCACGGTGGCGGGATGGGCTGGGTGTTGACACAAGCGCAACGCCTGATACATCCTCACAATCTGCGCTGGACGCAAACGAATCGATTTTAAAAGTGTATGAATGAAAATGCATCTGAGGCTAATTTCCTGAGTGGGTGTGAACGAATCGGGGTGAACTTGGATCTGGGACAGTCCGAGTAAGAAGGTGATGTGGCTGAGTCTGCGTGCGGAGAAATGAATGTGTGATGGCGCCCGTGAGGAAGAGTGGGTCTGTGATGGACCCCGTGATGGATGTGAATGAACTGAATGTGAGTATCTGAGTGATGCGAGCGAGGTGAGAGTGAAGAAAAGAAAGAGAAGGAGAAGGGGGAGAGGGATGAGGAATGTCCAGAGGCCTCTAAAAATCAACAGGAACCCCGTCTTAGAAGATGTGGAACAAGTGATCTGGGACGCGTAGAAATACGAATGAACAACACCTTCGAGGCTTCGGCACTGCCATTCCGGCACACCCCTAACGCATGTTTTGCTCCACATGTTACTGAGGCACGTGAAAATACGAGCGATATGCGCTCCGAGGGCCACTGAAGGCTCAATTCTCGACACCCCTGATACACTTCCCGCCCCACACTTTACTGGGACACGTGGAGATACAAGTGATCTGCGCTCTCAGGCTCCTGGGATAATAAAAAACTAATGACCTGGGCCTCGGGGCATCCAGGAGACTTCAACATGTGAATGCAGTTCTTTTGCATGGTTGACGGGAACCTCAATTCGGCACACCCGCATACACTTCGTGAATGGTGGGCGCTCAGCTGGCCCCCGAGACGGCTCCTTGGAGCCTCACTTCGGCACGCCATTTACGCACATCGTGCCAACATGGATCCTCAAAGGCCTTCAGCTGGCCTCCAAAACCACCTGATCCCCCAAGGGGCGCACATACACCCCCAAAAAACATTGCAACGATTGGCACCGACCCTCGTCGAGGCAATCTCCTGAAGACCAAGTGGCTGCAAAGTCTGCGTGCAAGCTTCCACCTGGGGCCCGCCTTGACTCCCGCTCTGCGGGCTCCACTCGGTAGGTCCCCTGCGGGCCATCGCCGTGTTGGGCTTCGGGGCAAGGCGATGCCATGAAGGTGAGATGGAGGATGCCGAGAAGCATGCCTCAAGGCATGCTAGGAGCGGCCTCGCGCATCCCGTCGGCCTCAATCAAGATGGCAGGTGGCATCGATCTCCCTGGGACCATATAAGCCGAATCGTAACACGTGCTCCCAGCGCAAGGCCCACGCGCGTGATACCTCCTGGGATGCGTGCAGACACAAGTCAGATGCGCTCTCAGGGCTGCCAACGCCTCGTTTCAGCGCACCCCTCACGCATTTCCTGTCTGACATTATTCTGGGGCGCGTAGACATACGAATGGGCAACGCCTTCGTGGCTACGGCACTGTCATTCCGGTACACCCCTAACGCATTTTGCGTTCCACAATCTACTGGGGCACATGCAAATACAAGCGGTCTGCGCTCCGAGGGCCACGAGGGGCTCAACTCTAGACACAACAAATACACTCCCCGCCCCACACTCTACTGGGACACGTGGAGATACAAGTGATCTGCGCTCTCAGGCTCCTGGGGCACATGAAACAACTAGTGCTCTGGGCCTCGGGGCATCCGGGAGATTTCAGCATGTGAGTACAGTTCTTTTGCATGGTTGACGGGAACCTCAATTCGGCACACCCGCATACACTTCGTGAATGGTGGGCGCTCAGCTGGCCCCCGAGACGGCTCCTTGGAGCCTCACTTCGCCCGCAGACTCCCGAAGGCCTTCAGCTGGCCTCCAAAACCACCTGATCCCCCAAAGGGCGCACATACACCCCCAAAAAACATTGCAACGATTGGCACCGACCCTCGTCGAGGCAATCTCCTGAAGACCAAGTGGCTGCAAAATCTGCGTGCAAGCTTCCACCTGGGGGCCCGCCGTGACTCCCGCTCTGCGGGCTCAATCATACTCTACTTTGGACTCGGCCCCGAAATGAAACCATGTTGTTACTTACGAAAACATAATCCCAACGTCTCACACGTCCAAACCTAATTCATCACACTCACGCGCACAACAATTATCCGATCTTATTCCAGAATCTCCTGGACTTCGGCCTGGGATGACTTCGGCTTGTTGTGCTTCGGATGGAACTTTCGTCGCGAGGGCGTAATGATGACGTGGGCGCTGCTTATCCTGATCACACGGGTGGCCTGCCCAGCCTAGACCTCCCTCAGCTGTGCTGATCCACGATTCCGCGGAGCGCAATTCCGCATACGATTAAGTCGGGCATGTCCCCCTACAGGGGGACTTTCAACGAAAAAATGAAAATACACCAAAAACACCCCAAAAAGGAAAAAACGTACTCAAAAGATAGTCCCCAGACTATTTTTGGAGTATTTGTTGACACTTTTGGGGGTATTTATTGTTTTTCGTCGAAAATCCCCATGTAGGGGGACAGGCCCGACTTAAGCATACGATCATACTATCCCGCTCCTTCCTCCACATCCCTGTGCCCACGCTCCGTGGAGAGGTGCTTGGGGTCCATGTTCTCCAGGATCTTCTCGAGGCGCGGCATCCAGGAGGAGAAGAGATGGCAGTTCTGGAGCAGCACCCAGAACCCCATCTGAGAGCCCTCCTCCAGCAACCTCTCGGCCTTCGGTCCTGTGCTGGCATGCTCTGCTCCGCTCTCCCCTGCCATTCCCGGAGTAGGGGGAGAACAGGGGAGGGGAAGGGGTAGGGGAAGGGGGAGGGGAAGGGAGAGGAGGGGAGAGTGAGGGAGGGGTTGCCGGGATGGGTGAGAGTGAGCGAATGGGTCCTTTCCCGAATCACCGAAGCACCTCCCCCCTTCCACTTCAGATCCGTCTGCCGCTTCTGAGGTGTAGGAGTGCGGGGTGGTGATCTAATCAGCGACTGCTCGTCTAATCACCCTCACCCATCAACTCAAATCGGTCCGACGCCTCTGATGTGTAAGCTTGGGGTGCTTGGCGAACCCACGATCCTTGACCCTGTCCCAAGGACAAGCCGCTAATCTCTTTTCCCCTCTCCGCGGCGAACATGTTCAGAGCAGACGACGGGTCTGACCCGGGCGACAGGATGAATATGAGCGGGGCAATGTTCGACGAGTCGTGGTAGCTCCCTGCGATGTCGAACGGCGGCGGCGTCACGAACTTGGTCCCCATCTGGTCGGCCACGTACGCCATGATTGCGGGGAGCATGCGGTCAGGGCGCACGCACCTGAGAACCATGAGCTCGCTGAACTTGTCCATACCTTTCATGGACGTCGGTTGCTCCTCGGGGTCCTGCAGGATGGACAGCGGGTCCACGGAGTCGTAGATACTGCGCCAAGCGTTGATACTGAGCCTGAAGGTCTCGTGGAACACCTGGTACCTCTCGTCCGTCTTGCCCATCTTGAAGAGCTCCGACCAGCACCTGTCAGGCACCCACTCTGCCGGCTTCGGAGGGGCCTCGTCCAACGACACGCCGCCCGTGAGCAGGAATCTGTAGCTGGCCATGGAGACTTCCGCGTTGGTGATCTGCAGCCTCATGGTCAGCAGGAACGAGAAGAGCAGCTTGTGCTTCTCAAATAAGGACCTGCAAATATTCTTGTACAGCATCTCCATGAAGAAATCATTCAAAATGTCGATGCGCTCGTTGATGTCCGATGACTCCGCCGACTTGAAGATCGCGGTCTTGAACAAATTGATGAAGAACGGCAACGAATACTGGTACATGGGGTCGATGTTGGCCAAATCCGCGATGCAGAAGAACAACACGGACACCTGGAATGCCACCGGCACGTACTGCAATCTCGCCTCATCGATCTTCTGCTCCGTCTCCTCCGCGACCTTCTGCTTCTCGGCGATCTCGTTGGAGAGCTGCTTGGAGGACGACAGAACCTGGACTGCAGACTCGTCATCCAAAATGTTACCTTGGGTTATGTTGTTCCCGTCCTACTTAAGGACCGCATCCCAGAAACAATTTCGAGCGCCCGGAACAGTGTCAAACGAGTGTCGAAACGGTGTCGAAACAGTGCTGGGCGAGTGTCTCTCAGGGCCCGACGCGTGAAAACACTCGAGTTTTTTGGGGTACTTATTTGGGGCGCTCGAAACTCTTCCTGGTGATCCAGGCGAAAGCAGGCTGGAGCATCACAAACCTTGCGACGAGCTGAGCACGTCCAGGATCTTGTTCTCCGTCTTCTCGAGCTGCTCCTTGTTCTCCGCGCCCTCCACCACCAGGCGGGCCTTCTCCTCCGCCAGGTCCGGCCGCTCCCGCTCCACCACGATGTTCAGCAGCTGGTCCTGCAGGCCGACCTTGAAGGGGCCCAAGGACACACAAATAAATACACACAAACAAAATGATTCCCCATATTTTCCCATATTTTCTGGGTTTCTGTATTCCCCCCCACTTCCCATATTTTCCCATATTCTCCCAGGGATCGACGATCAATTGTGTCTGTGTTTTTTCCCCTCCTGAGACCTGCGTGATCATGAAGTTCAGCAGCGTGACCTTGACCGCAACCTCGGGGAGGTAGTGCGGATTCCTCAGCTTCGTGGTCAGGTAGAACTTGAAGTCCTTCTGGTACTCGACGATCGCCTCGCCCAGCTTCAGCATGAGCGTGTTCCCCTTCTTGAAGGTCTGACGCAGGAGCACGGGCTCGATGGCTGGGTCGGTCTCCTCCAGGATGTTCTCGAGGAGCATCGGGTGCCCGAACTGGATGCACCCCTCCAGTCGCTTCAGGTAGTCTCCGTCCGTGAACTTCGCGACCACGATGTGCTGCGGCTGCCCCATCTTCTTGATCCACCGGTTCGCCTGGCCCTGCGGATCGATGCAGAGCGGCCACCGCCGGGCCTTGTCCACCACGATCCCGTTCTCAACGCTGAACGAATCGTTTGGTAGGCCTGCGATGATCCACGCGCGAATTTTGACAGGCTCGCCCAAGCACTGGACGAGGCTGAATTTCTCAGACCCGGGCACTTCCTTGTCCATCGACGCCTTGGTCCAGTCAGTCACCGCCGCCTCTCGAAACTCTGGGGTGAAGGCCCCCAAGTATGCGATCAGGCCGCTGGCGACGAGCACGTCGCCCGTCAGATTGTTGTACTCCAGGGTGAGGTCCTTGGCATTCTGCGTCCACCGGGTCTTCTCTCCGCCCAGCGAGGCGATGAGCGTCTCGGCGCGCTCGAGCTTGGTCTCGCAGAGCCGCACCTGTGCCGTGAGGTCCTCCTGCTCCTTTCGGAGGTCGGCGAGCTTGGTGTTGAGGCCGTCGAGCTGGTCCACCACCTTCTGCAGCTCGGCGCGCTTCTCGTTCAGCTTCTCCATCACGGAGGCGTGCGCCGCCTCGGCTTCGCGCAGAGACTCCTTCTTGGGCGCCACCACCTTGGCCACCCGGTCGTAGGTCTCCATAGCGCGCACCCAGAGGCAGAGGCCACCGGCAGCGGACGAGACTTGCTTGACGCGATCGGGCTGGAAGTCCGGCTGCGGGGTGTAGGTGCTGATCTTCTTGATGATGTCTGGCGGGATGTTGTCCTTGTCGAAGGACTGCAGGGATGCGAGGAATCCCATCTCGGATATCATCTTGGTGGCTGCAGGCCAGTAGTCGTCCACCATCTTGCCACTCTCATCCTTCACGCGCACAGGCTTGATGCTCTTGAGGATGCACACCGCGCTGAGCACCAGCCGGACTGGAGCTGCAGGATTCTTCATCGCCTTGACCTCGGCTATCTCTTTGGACGAGAGAGTGTCAAGGGCCTTCAGCGCGTCGTTGAGAGCGGGCATCGCCTCGTCCAGCGCCTCGGTGCACTCGCTCTTGATGGCCGCGGCCTGCTCGGCGGCCTCGTTCGCCACCGCCTCGTCGGCTGCGACCACCTCCTTGACCTTCTCTGTCTTGGCTGACTCCTCGTTGACCACGACCATCATCTCTCCGACCTCCTTGTTCTTCTGAACCAGTTGCGGCTGCAGGGCGATGAGCTCCTGCTTCATGCCTCCGACAGAGGTCTCGGTGTTGGTCAGCTTCTCCAGCCCAACCTCGTACTTCGACTTCAGGCTGCTTACAGTGTTACGCTTCTCCCCGAGCAGCTGCCTAAAGGTCTGGATGAGCTCCAGAAATGAGGTAGGGGTAGTGTAGTAGATCCTCTTCAACTCTGACCTGAACCGCGCGGCCAACTCTCTGGACCCCCAGTGGAACGTCTTAAACATGTCAACGCACGCCGCCTTCACGCTCGGCTGCAGGTCTGCTATGTCCGAGAGGCTCCTCTGTGCAACAGCAACGAGGGCATCGGCGGGCCAGAACGTGTACCAGTCGATAGTGGTGCAGTTGACGAGCGAAGGGAACTGACGCAACCTAGTGCGCCAGCCGTCGCCGATGGGCGAGAAGCAGAGCACGACCCCTACGTTCGCGCGGCACCGCTCGATGAAGAACGCGAACAATTGGGTGAGGGTGCCATCCGGCGCCTGGCCGGAGTCGCGCGCCGCGCTTCGCACAAGCTCGCACACCGCGACGCGCTCGTCCTGGGGGAAGAGGTTCGGGATCTCGCCCGAGTTCAGCAGGTTGTTGATGTCCTCCACGAACCCCTCGTCCTTGATCTGGGAGTCGCTGAACAAGAAGACGGTGCGCTCGTTGCTGCCGCCCGCGGTTGTGAGCATCTTCTTCAGGTCTTCGTGGAAACCCTCCATGCCGTAGCCCTTGGAGATCTCGATCTGGAATACCGCGAAGTCTGCCATGAACGCTGCCAGCCTCGTGCAGCTCTGCCTGCCCGAACCGCCCACGCCCACCAGCAGGGCGTTGCCGCCTGGGCTCTTGATGACCTCTGAGGTCGCCAAAGATGCAGACCCGACACCTGCCCGGGCCAGTCCCCTCCTGGGCCTGGGACTGGCGCTTACGGTCAACATCTGCAGTGAGGACGCGCTGCAAGGACGCAACACCCCTGGACGATCCCTGGATGCCCCAGTTGAAGCTCTTCTGGCGGCGCACTGTCCAACAAATCTGAGGAGGCAAGGGGTGCCCTCGGGAAGCTTACCCGTCCTCACTATGAATTTTCGCGGTGCGCTGTCCTGGCCTGGCCTGGAGTGCGCGTGCGCCAGTCCCGCCGGCCGGGGCCCTCGCCGGCGTGCCGTTTGCCCCCCCCCCTCAAGGGACCCTGGCCACGCGGCTGAGGTGCTCCTGGGGCGGGGGGCTTGAAGAGCAGGGAGGGAAGGGGAGGGGGGAGGAGGAGGAGGAGAAGGAGGAGGAGGAGGAGGAGGAGGAGGAGGAGGAGGAGGAGGAGGAGGAGAAGGAGGAGGAGGAGGAGGAGGAGGAGGAGGAAGAAGAGAAGAGGAGGAGGAGGAGGTGGATGATGATGACGATGATGACGATGACGATGACGATGACGATGACGATGATGATGATGATGATGATGATGATGATGATGATGATGATGATGATGATGGTGATGATGATGAACATGATGATGATGATGCTGATGCTGATGCTGATGATGATGATGCTGAGGAGGAGGAGGAGGAGGAGGAGGAGGCGGCGGCGGAGGAAGAGGGGGGGGACTGGCCTAGGGGGAGGGGCATCGACCTGGAATCGGCGATACATCGCCGATAGATTGGCGATAGGCCCCCGAGAGCGAGTGTGCACGTTCCTGGGTGGGGTGGGGCTATCGGGCCCCTATCGGCGATCCATGGGCGATTGGGGGTCGATGTATCCCCCTATGCCTATTCCCTCCTCTGTCGTTGCCCCTGCAGGGAGGGGGGGGGGGGGCGAGGGGGTCGCTGGGCACCTTCGCAAAAGCTCGGCATCTCAGGATCAATTTTGGTCCTGGGGGACCTGCATACGACGACACGCAATGAGCGAGCGGTTGCAGAGACTGGGTCGAGAGCTCCAGGACCCACCGTCGTTCAGGAACACCGGGGCAGAAGCGGGCATGGTGCGGGGGCGGGAACTGCTGATATTGCCCACGAAGGACCGCGCGACTCGGACTGCACCGGGGTCTGCAGTGACCTCGCATGCGACATCATCCTTGCGGCTAGTTCCTGCCTCTGCGACGCGGGCCCTGGTTCCTGAGACACCGCGTGACCGTACATGGACATTCTATTCGAACCCTGTGGCCCGAGATGCCCCCTGGACCCCCGAAATGAAGATTGATGGCGTGACGGCGGCAGGGGGCGTGAGTGGGCAGAACTGCGTAGTCGAACCCCCAGAGCACCGCCTGCACAGAGATCAACATTGATGTCGCGGGCGTGGGGGTGATTCGGCATCTCCCTCGCATGTGTAATTAGGGATGCGAATCTATGGCCCATCTACTATTAAGTCGGGCCTGTCCCCCTGGGGATTTTCGACGAAGAATAAAACATACCACAAAAATAATCAAAACATGCTCCAAAAATAGTATGGGGACTATTGTTTGAATATCTTTTGGACCTTTTTGGTCGATTTTTGGGGTAATTTTTTTAGCTTTTCGTCGACGATCCCCCTGTAGGGGGACACGCCCGACAGAAATCTGCTGGAGCAGCCGAGCGCTCTCCGCCGTCGGGGGTCCCGGGCGCGGGCGGCCACCCCCGCTCTCCCGTGGCGGCTGGACTTCGCGCCGTGGTCCGCTTGCCGCGGCCCCCCGGGGGCCAGGGGGCGGGCGTTGGCAGAACTGGCTTCAGTGGCACCCGGTTTAGTGATTTGTACCGGGGGCGCCCCCCCGTCCTACTTCCACTAACCGGAACTGCCGTCACCCGAAAAACACCAGTTACGGCAAACCTGGTTTAGTGAACCTGGCCAATGGAGGGGCCCCAGGGCCCTACCACTCACCGGGTCCCCTCACCTGGGGTCCTGGCTATACCCGAAGGGGGCGGGGCCCCGGGAGGACGCGTTGACCCTGAGCGCCCGCGCCAGCGTCGCCGCTGCGGCGGGGTGGCACCCGCTGGAGATCTCCATAGAGGCCTCCAGAAGCCCGGTGAGGGTCAGAGGCGTCCAAAGACCCTGGCTCCTCCCTCCTTCTTCCGCCCCGACAGGAGCAGAGAGCATCGGCACCGCCACCATCGTGAGGAGCCAGGAAAGGTCCTCCTCCTCCTGACGGTGCGGTCCCCCTGTTTTGCGGCATACCGCTCCAGCCTTCTCCAGTCTCCCGCTCGGGGAGGCATCGTGGACCTGATCGCTGGAGGTGGCCCGCTGGTGGTGGTGTCGCTGCTTTTTGCTCCGATCCTGCACCTCTCACCCCCCCTCCCCGCCTCGCGGCGCGACAAGGTCGGCGCAGGCCAAGCCAATGCCCAACCAGAGCATGTGCTTAAAGATAAGCAACAACTGTTGGCCTGCCGACGTTCGCCACTACACGGACCACGATCGAGTTACCACGGACTACGATCCTGGTCCAAAGTGAACAGGCACTACTGTCTATTAGCGTCCCCATTCGTCTCGTCCACATCTCAATCCTCCCTCCTCCCTCCACCCCTCCTTCTTCACCCAGGCCTCCCCATCCTTCTCCTCGTTCTCCCAAACATATTCCTCATCCTCCTACTCCTCCCCATCCTCCCAGGCATCCTCCTCCCCCTCCTCCCTCCCTCCTCCTCCTCCTCCTCCTCCTCCTCCTCCTCCTCCTCCTCCTCCTCCTCCTCCTCCTCCTCCTCCTCCTCCTCCGCCCTCCTCCTCCTCCTCCTCCTCCTCCTCCTCCTCCTCCTTCCTTTCCTCCTTTCCTCCTTCCTCCTTCCTCCTTCCTCCTTCCTCCTTCCTCCTTCCTTCTTCCTCCTTCCTCCTTCCTCCTTCCTTCTTCCTCCTTCCTCCTTCCTCCTTCCTCCTACCTCCTTCCTCCTCTGCTCAGACCTCCGACGTCACGACTCTTTGAACCAGTGGGCTCCAAAACTGTCGACCCCTTCCCCGGGACATTGCATCTTGAAAGGTGCCCAGGGACACACACACACACACACACAAATAAATACATGCAAATCCCAGGATCCCCCATATTGTCTGATACTTTCTAGGCTTTCGTCTCCCCCCACCACTTCCTGTATTTTCAAAACTGTTCCCGGCAATCGGCGATAAGTTGTGCCCGTGTCTTTTTGCTCTCTCTTGATCCCTCGCCCCGAGCAGTTCCTGTTCCTCGTGCTCGCAGGCCCCGACGGCGGCCCCCGCGAGGCCGACCGCGCAGAGACGGGCACCGCACCTCGACTCCCCGCTCGCGCCCCCCCGGGCCGACGCAGGCTCGGGGATGGACAGACCTCCCTTTAGTAAAACGTGGTTTAGCGAAAACGACCTGAGGCCCAAAAATTGGCGGGCGCGAGCCTGGAAAAGAACGGCCGCGGCGCCCTCTCGAGAACCGAAGAAGGACGATTCACTAATCGACGTGTCACTGTTGGGGGTTCTGTCCACACCCGACAGGCCCCCCCCTTCCGGGCTCTGCGGCCGGCTCCGGAGGCCACTGGGTCCCCGAACGCGTTGACGCCCCGCGCCCGCCGCCCGACTTCCGCTGGGAAGCCCGCCGCCGTTTCTGGTTCCGCCGGCTCCCGACGCGCACTGCGCCCAATGGCCAATTGGGCGCCAGAGGTATCGCGCGGGGCTCTGGGCTACCGTGGACGGCGCGGGCGCAGGCACTGCAAGTCTGGCCGCAGCTAGCGAGGCAAAACTGGAGCCGCGAGTGGGGAGCTTGCCCCCGCCCTCCAAAGTCGAAGCCGACGCGCGGGGTTGCGCGGATGGAGACATCAAGCCACGAACCCAGCGTGCCAGTCAACTTTGAAAGGGCCATCCAACAAATAATGACCAAATCGGACGTCAATCAGCGAAGATTGCGATCGCAATCCGTCACGCCCCTGAGGAGGTCCCAGCGACCCGCAGTCACCAGGCCACTCACATAATGAATAAATCAGAGCGCTATTAACGAAACAAAATTGAAGTCGCGCCGCGGGGAGCCCACCCCCGCGCTCCGAAGTTGCAACCAGTGCGCGGAGGTCTGCTCACCAATAAATGCCTAAACGCGCTTCTCAACTTTGCAGAGGCCGCTCGATAGTCACGCAGCGTCACCAGCCACTGGGCGGCGTCGCGTGAATTGTGACTGGACTTGTATGCTCAACCAGAGAACATACGAACAGCGAATCAAAGCAGGTCGGTATCTTCGTTTGTTTCCCCAGCCCTCCCCCCCTACGCGCCCTCCGCTGCTCCCTCGTCCTCCCCGTTGGCGCGTTCCGACCAAGATGTTGAAGCGAATGCAGCCGTGGCGGCGAGGGACGGGTAGCGGTATGGTTACTTACGTTCCCCCTCCCGTTTTTCCTCGAGCGCACTGAGCAGCTGTACCACGGGGCCTAATGAACGGACAGTTTTTGCAAGCGGCCCTCACCAGGCCCCAGGACCGTCCACAAGCACAACGCCCAAGATGAAGACACACATGTCCCGGGGAAGGGGGAGGAGGAGGAGGAACAGGAGGAGGAGGAGGAGGAGGAGGAGGAGGAGGTGGAGGAGGAGGAGGAGGAGAAGGAGGAGGAGGAGGAGGAGGAGGAGGAGGAGGAAGAGGAGGAGGAGGAGGAGGAGGAGGAGGAGGAGGAGGAGGAGGAGGAGGAGGAGGAGGAGGAGGAGGAGAGGAGGGGGAGGAGGAGGAGGCAGGAGGAGGAGGAGGAGGAGGAGGAGGAGGAGGAGGAGGAGGAGGAGGAGGAGGAGGAGGAGGAGGAGGAGGAGGAGGAGGAGGAGGAGGAGGAGGAGGAGGGGGAGGAGGAGGAGGAGGAGGAGGAGGAGTCGGTCCTCCGGGGGGCCACGCCGCGGAGCAGCCGCGGCGCCGATCTGCCTTCCGCGGCCTGGAGCCCTGCAACGGTCACGGTCCGCCTCCAGGTCTCGTGCGTGTGTGGGGGGGGGGGGGGGGGCGACGGCGACAAACGCGGGCGCCCCGTGGCGAGGAGCCCGGGTCCAGGATTAAGTCGGGCACGTCCCTGTACAGGGGGATCTTGGGCGAAAAGCTCAGAAAATACCCACCAAAAATGCCCCCAACATGCAAAACACATGATCAAAACATAGCCCCCCGCCTATTCACGTTCCCCCTGTGGAGGGACAGGCCCGACTTAAGCCCGGGATGCTGTCGAGAGCCCTGGGGGAGGCCCCACAGCCTTGAAGCGTCGCAGGTCGGGTCGGAGGTCTGGCCGACGGGGCGGAGGGAGCGGAGGAGGAGGAGGAGGAGGCAGAGGCGGCAGAGGAGGAAGCTCAACCATGCCGCCGGCGCCGTGGACACCCGTCGCGACGGAAGGATCTCGGCCGTCTTCGGCCTCCGGGGGAGCTCGCACTGAGCCCCGGGGCCGCCAAGCGGCGTCGCCCGCTCCCGAGGTGCCGCCTCGACAGCCCCTTGCTGGGCCCGTGTGCCTCCGTCGGGGCCCCGCGCCTGCCCCCCTCGGGTCTCCAGCATGTACAGGAAGCAGACCAGGTCCATCGGTTTGCTCGAGGTGTCCTGCAGGAGCGGGAGATACAACGATGCGAGCAGTTGTGGCACACGTGTGTAAAGGAGACATGTAAGGCATGGAAAGAGGCACAGGAAGAGAGAGGGAGAGAGGGAGGAAGGAGCGATATGCAGAGTTATGTCTCTCTCTCTCTATATATATAGGGCGAGATGAGGAGAGGGGGAGAGAGACATACACACATACATATATATATATAGACATCGATAAAGAGGGAGAGAGAGAGAGAGAGAGAGCGATAGAGAGAGATAGGGCGCTATGCCAATAATGCTGAGTCAACTAGCTAACTGCATTCGGGTTTGAGTACAGGAGAACTAAGACTCCAAGCGATGGCACACCACACAATTTGAACACGATTGAAAATTCGCTCGTGTGCACAATGTATACTGAAGGCGAACGGGCGCACCATGTTTTCCCAAGGTTGTAGAAACATACGTGCACCACGCGTATGTGCGATCGTCAACATTCTCGATGTTTGGCACGAATGCGGATGGATTAAAGATTTCGTGGGGGGTGCACGTATATAGACGGGCACAACGCTGGAACGTTCTATTTGTTCCTCTGCATGAAAACGCTGCTACCGTGTGTGGTCGCACCAGGTGGCTCGGACACAATGATATCTTTTGATGCATTGTATGCGGACCAAGCCGAGCGCACCAGCATCTGTCACGGGCAGAGGTTCGCCACAGCAGCACATCAGTACACGAAACAATTGCGCCAAACGAATTTGTAAATCTTTTGTGCCACATCTTCTCCCGAATACGTCATGCCCCGGCCACCAAATACGACATGTAATACATGCGCGCGGAATTGCCAACGGGCCCCCTCTCCTACCGCAGTTCTGTCCATACCTATTCTGAGCATATGCGAATACTTAGCAGGCACTGGCATCGCAAACAATAGCTGAATACACCTCGCTCTTCGCCACGGGTCAAATATGATACATAACTCTCCGCTGGCATCTGATAGCTCGACTGCCTGCTCCAAATCCGCCAGCGCATTTGTGCGGCCACCAGCCTGCCTTGGGCTGTACTTCGAACTGGTGAATGTACGTTGAATGCTATCGAACATTGCTTAGTCAGTGCCACTTGCCAGACAAAGCGCCTCCCCCGAGGCACAGAACAGGACGACTGCCATCTGACTGCTCTCCACCTCGTCCGCATCCCAATAAGCTCGGATATTTGCGACTGGCTGGCCATGTTCCCTCAGATTTTAGCCTCCCCACCCAGACTCGGCACAACTCAACAAAATCGGTGATTCGCAGCCCACCACGCCGTCACAACGGCGCAGGGTAGATCTGAAGATCTAAAGCTTCGTCCTTCCCGAATCCTGTGAGGCATCCTGAGATGCCCAACGGTCGCCCAAGACGACCTCTGAGATGCACTGGGTGGTCTCCAACATTGCCTTTCGCACGCCGAATGTATGACATTGAAGCACATCGACACCCTTGCGACAGAAGTTCCTAAGCATTTTTTACAGGGGGTCCCGTAATTCACCTCCTGGCCCTTAGCACCACTAGAACTACCAGTACGACTAACTACTGACTATTACCAGTGCTGATCAGACGAGCTACGACTCATCAGGATGCCACCGCTGCTAGTGCTAACTCGTGGGCCAGCCTACGACTAGAACTACGACTCTCATGACGGACGGTACTAGCATCACGAATGCACCTGATACTGGCACAGTGCAAACATTTCTACGCATGCTAACACCCAAACTTGTGCAAAGACTGACATTACTTCTGAAACGAGCACGAATGCTGATAGTAAAACTACTAGCGCTACAAGCAATACAACGAGTAATCATATCACGAGCGTTACCCCGACGGATACCGACACGGATACCAATACTGATACGAATGCTGGTACGGATACGTGCACTCATACGAAAGCCACAACGAAACCTGATACATAGAAGGCATATGACAACTGATACGAACACGAATTCGAATGCGAATGGAAACGCTAACAGGAGGCAGGAAGACATAACGTCACGGGGACACAGGAGACAACGGCAGACAACGTCGCCACACCCATTCCGAATCCGACAATCCACCTATTCTCTTCTGAGAGCGATCTCGAAAACCCTTCCAGACAAGGCGTTCAGGTCATCGTGCACGCCAGGCCTGGATGGCGTATGCACCGACGCTGGGCACAGCATCGGCACGGCGGGTTTGATACCGCGATGACGTCGGCGCTGGTTTCTGAACTTTCAACCTGGAGCGATTGCGGTCTTCCACAGAGGCGCGGATCGGCCGGTTCAGAGCCACTCGCGGCGTTCAACCTTGAACCCCCACGCTGGGGTCGCTGTCGCGTCGCGACGCGGCGCGAATCTAGCGTACCGGTGTGCAGCTGGAGTCAGCCGACAGGGAAGAGGAGGAGGAGGAGGAGGAGGAGGAGGAGGAGGAGGAGGAGGAGGAGGAGGAGGAGGAGGAGGAGGAGGAGCGGCGTCGTTGTAGCTGGCGAGGTGGCCCTCGACCTCCTTCTGCAGCGCGCCCACGGACTGGCACTCGGCGTATGCCCGGTTCGGCAGGCCCACCTGCCGCCGCGGCGTCGCGCCCGCGGCCGCCCGTCGTTCCCTCGGACCCACGGGAGCGGTGAGGAGGGGGAGTCGAGTTGACCCAAAAAGGGGTCCAGCGACAAGGGGGTGGTGCAATAGATTTGGTGCAATAGGTTTGTGGGGTTGCAACACATTTGGGGCGTGCAATACTTTCTGGGGCGCAAATGTAGTGCTGGACTTTCGCGTGCAATGCATTCGTTGCAGTACAATGCAATAGAATTCTCCAGCGCAATACGTTTGCAATACAATTGCCCCAAATCTATTGCACCACCCCCTTGCAGCTGGACCCCCTTTTGGGTCGCCCAGAGGGAGGGGGGGGGAATCTGGCTTGGACTCGGGAAGGGAAAGCGCCACGACTCCAAATTGGGCGGCCTGGGCAAGAGCGTTCCGGGCACGCAGCGCCACGCGTCCCATGCTGCGAGTACCAGTGGGCCGGCAGGGATGTTCTGAGGGAGAAAGACGAGAAGGCGGAATAGGAGGAGGAGGTGCAGGAGGAGGACTTAGTTGAAGTGAGCGCGGCCACCAAATCTCGATTCGGCGCGGCCACACACCCATAACGTCAGCGGGAAAATTGCCCGCCGCATTGGGAAACGGAGGAGGGGGAAGAGCTGGAGGAGGAGAAGGAGGAGGAGGAGGAGACGACGCAGGCCAAGAAGCAGCGTCAAGGCAGAACGCACCACCATCTACACAAAGTAAGATTGGCACGTGTGATTAACACCTCTAGTACTTCTACCACCATGATATCGACATACAAATGGTGGTCGTCTTGGCGAAACTGGTTCTAACGATCAACCAATCCACATAGGCCAAGCGACAACGGCAAGACACGCATGACTACATCGGCGGCCCTCTGGCATACTTGCGGAGGGCTGACCAAAGCTCCGTACAGCGCACCCCATGCACACCGAACTCCCGCATCACATAGCCCCAATTACATACATCAGCACTCGCAGACCGACCCCCCCCATAACACACCCACAAGCTGAAGCTGCGGTCCCAACACCTCGAACAACTAGGGCAACACCGATCCAATCGACCCCAACTGCAACCACATAACCTCTACCAAAAAGAGGCCACCACCCTACCACAGACTTGTTCCCCAGCTCGGTGGCACGGTCATGCGCCCACCACCAGCCTGATTTCGCAAGGAAGACGGCACCACGACCCACGCCGGCCAGCTCGACCTATAACCACTGACAGACTGACGACGATGAACGCAAACTACCGATCTTGACACTAACCTCTATTACACTTATTCGTACTGTAAATCGATGATCTAGCATTCGCACTCCGGACAACCGCCGTGGTCGACTCCAACTTCCCCTACGCCATCTCCTCATATACGTATGTACTCCTCTCACGGTGCCGCTGGCGACCCTGACAAGAACTGCTGCAATCGCTCTCTCCTCTGCCGCTCCCTGCGTTGGGCGGCAATCGTCCCGAGAACGCTCTGGCGACGCACTTCGCAGCAATGGGCGCGCCACGGCAGGAATCGAGGCACGAGCTACAGTCTGTTCGTTCCACGCCGCCACCTCGCCCAACCTCTGAGGTCTTCTCGTTCGCACCCTTCGGTGGCAACTCACGGGGGCCTCCCATACCATCTTGTCGGCTCTTGCGAATCGACGCTACCCGACGTTAGATCGACGCTCATCGACATTAAATCGACGCTAATTGACGCTAAATCGGCGCCATCTCATCGACTCCCAGACGCTAATCCACAGTAGCCGACGCTAAAGACAAACTGAATAGGGTATACCAAGCTCCCATGAATTGCTACCGAGCACCCTCGTGTGACCCCGAGGCCGCCTATGAGCTCATCACCGAACCTCTAGCGTCACGATCGGCTCACAAACCTCGACGGCACACGTGCTGGCGCTGGGGCCATCAAATACTGATCCGCGACGAAGAACCGGTCCCAAGCATGGGGTCAAAAAGTAAAGATGGGGAATCCAAGAGGTACCGATACCGCTACGCCCTGGACCTCTCCCAAGGTGCGTTCTGACCAGGATTTCGAGGCGAATCCAGCGGTGGCGACGAGGGCCTCCCAGAATGCCGACAGAAGGGGGAAAGGTGTGAAGGGTAGCGCTATCGGTACCAGTTCCTCCTCTAACCACAGCCGACGCCATGAAAACACGACATCGGAGGTCAGGAGGTGGAGGAGGAGGAGGAGGAAGAGGAGGAGGAGGAGGAGGAGGAGGAGGAGGAGGAGGAGGAGGAGGAAAAGGAGGAGTTTCGTCACGCGCGGCGCCAAGCGTGCAGGCACAGCTAGGCAGCTCGGGCACAAGCCCGACCGAGGGAAAAGGGCTCGAGCACCTCCCCAAAGGGGAATGCCAGCATGCGCAGCCAGGGGCCTACAAAGCGCCCGCAGCCTCGTCCACGACTACCAGGTCTCCGACCAGGCTGTCGAGGACGAAGTCCGCGAACGGCCGAGGCCTAACCTGGCCGCTGGCCAAGGGCAGAGGAAGACCAGTGCGCGGGTGCTTGCCCTCTCACAGGCGACCCACGCGGGGCCGCGTCTGTGGGGGCACAACCCCGAGGCAAGGCTGCGCGAGGAGCTGAGCGTTCTCACTCGAGTGCGCTCCGCACCTCGCGCAGAAAAAGGAGAGGGCCCACGCACCATACGCGGTGACCACCCCCTGGGCTGCACGCCGCAGGCGTGTACCAACACGCGTCCTGACAACGCGGAAGCAGCGGCAGCAGCAAAAACCCTTGCCGCACGGCACAGGCTCGTGCGCGCCAGCGGGCAGCACCACATCTGCCGCCAGCGCAGGGGCAGTCCCTCTGCGCCGAGTACGTCGCAGGTGACCGTGCGGCGGCGCATCCTGCTGGCTGGGGTCCGCTGAGCGCAGCACCCGAGCCAAAAACTTGGCGACAAGGGTCACCAAGTGAAAGGTGCGCCTGACCCGCTCCACGGCGGCACTGTCGGTGGGGTGGAGGGCAGCACCTTGTCGGGCGCCGAGGTCGGCGTAGTGATTCCACCAGCGCTTGATCAGGCCACGCTCGACGGCACTGTCGTGACAGCGTCGAGCGTGGCCTTTGACCTTCACAATCGTGACGTCGGCACTTAGGTTGTCCACGCGATCCCAGATGCGCGTCCAGAGGTCGGCTACCTCGCACTGGGCTCCAGTGGTCTCGGCGCGTCCGCGCTCGAAGCTGGAAACCACCCAGGCGTAGTCCGAGTGGAAGCAGTCAGGCCCCAAAGCCACGCGCGTCGAAGAGGGCGAAGGCCTCCGCAAGATCTGACGCCTGGTGCGGCCCTGGGAGCGGGCCGCAAAGGGAGGCGGTCAGGCATCCTTGCCCGTCCACCTGGACAACCGACCAGACCGCTCTAATGAGTCGGGGGTCTTGAGCCACTGGACGAGGAGGGAGGGCGCGGGGTAAGGGACAGAGGGGCGAGGGTCGGGAGGAGGAGGAGGGGTAGGAGGGGTAGGAGGGGGAGGAGGAGGAGGAGGAGGAGGAGGAGGAGGAGGAGGAGGAGGAGGAGGAGGAGGAAGAGGAGGAGGAGCAGGAGGAGGAGGAGGAGGAGGAGAGGGAGGAGGAGGAGGAGGAGGAGGAGGAGGAGGAGGAGCAGGAGGAGGAGGAGGGTACGACCTGCGGACCGCGCGACCCAGCCCTGCCCCTCGCGCCGCGGACGGGCGCGAGGCGCGGGCATCTGCGCGCCCCCGCGCCGCCCCGGCGCGGGTCGGCGCTCGAGCGGCGCTCGAGACCGGGCCGCCACGCGCGAGGCGCGATCGTCGGTGCACCCGCGTGGGTGGTCCAGCTCGTCGTCCTCGCGCTTTTTCTTTGGGCTTTGTTTTGGTTGTTATTTTTTTTTCCACGTTGGTCGGGAGACTCTGGCGCGGTGGCTGTAGCGTTCCTGTGGGGAAAACAGAGAAGGCGCGGCCGACGTGGGGCAGAGCGGCAGACAGATTCAGCAGACGGCGCGTGCAGTTAAGGCCGGGCAAGCAGAGAAAAGAAGGACATAAGCCCTTGTTGCGCGGCTCTCCTCCTCGTCCTTCCCCTCTTCTACCTGATCCCAGTCGCCATGACAGCTCGAGACAGACATCCAAGCAAAAAGAGGAGTCCCCAAATGGACCCGCTTGCCATTTCATCGACCGTGCTAGGATTCAAACTGCTCGATAGAATGCAAGATGTCGCTCCCCATTGTCAAAACATGGGTATCATTCTTCCCGCTGTCATTCAGGCGACCCGAGGGAATCCCAAGAACAGGTTGTTCCGACGTGCGCGTCACCGCCCGATGCTGCAACCCGAAGCAGCAACGGTAGCTTACCAAACAGATCGCTGGTGGTGTGGTGGTCTTGGGCTGTTCCCATGCAAGAACAACACATCCGCCGCACATGGGCGAGCCCAGAAAATGCAACTGACCGTGCTGTGGCTCTCCGATTGCAGAGTGGACCGGTGGCTGTCGCGCAGATCGTGTTCTTTTTCGCATCGCAGCCGGCGCTCGCCCGCGAAGTGCCGTTCTGCCTCCAGACAATCAGAGCGCTGGCGACCTGGCACGACCACTTGCTGGCCGCCCTGACAGATGCACCCCCGTCCTCTCATCTGACGTCGACGGCGGTCAGGGGCTCAGCCGCGCCTCGGGGACATGGTGGAACGTGGGAACTGAATCCCTGGGTGACGACCGCTCACGCGAGCAGTTTCTCAGCGATGCTGGTAAACGATTGCGGCTTCTTCGCGGGCAGCACCACATGTTGGCGATAAGTACTCGACACGAGCACTTCCAATCAAATTTCTTTCGAAATGCTGGTGGGGAAGGCTGTGTTCTTTTTATGCGCCGCTTTTGGTACGAACGGCTTTGTGAAACAATGCGGCCCCTCCGCAGACTCGGAACAGTGCCCGCGGCGTGCAAAAAACTATGACCTCGCGATCATGTCCCAACTCGTATGGATACGGCACCTATGAACAATTCGCCTTGCGTGCACGATACCGCGATCTCTCCCGCTGGAATATGGACACTCTGATGGAAGAGGTATAAGCACAATAGGGATGCCAACCGCAAAGGATTGAACCATCCAGACTTCTTGCATGCAGATGAACAGGAGCTGACTGCTGGACAGGATACTTGGCGTGGAGTGGGCTGCTGACCAAGGAGACTCTTACCAAGTCGGGCAGCCGGTGCTCCAACTTGACTGTGACCAGCGATGGACGGTGGGCCACGAAGAAGCGCGAGGGCTTGCTGTCTGAAGGAACCGCCCTTCGACTTGCCAGGGCTGGCGCAACGTCAACCACCATCAAGGAATGCGAGGTGAGACTGAAGCCCACATCGCAGCAACGAAGTGCATCCTCAAACAGCGCCGGTAAGCTGTCGTGGGGGAAGCCGACAAAGCTTGGTGAACAATACGGTTTGCTTGGCCGATGCGGCTGCCCAGGCTGGGTGGGGCATGCACATTCCCACCACCCAGCAAAGGATTCGGGCGGCTGCTTCGAACATGTGTTTCACAACCGAGAATGCCTCGACGTTCTGGGCTTTACCAGGCTGGAGTGAGGTATGAAGGCTACAACTACGACGATGACTACACCTTTGGAGCAAGACCGTGGCCCTGGCCTATGCTACTCCGACGTCGCCGACTCGATTTGGGATCATGCAGATCTGTGGAGACGGACGTTTTCCAGACGAGCAGAAAACAAAGAACGACCACAATATGTGCGCAATCGACAGATCTATGCTTAAAGGGAGGCATTACTGATCCCAGAGTCGTCGTTCCCCCAAGGCGATTCCTCCGTGCCGAGGGGCATTCTACTTCTTGCGGTGGATTGCTCCGCGGGTCCTCCTGCCTGTCGCCTGTCGCCTTTCGGCCTCCTTGCCGCATTCCTTTACCCCCTCTCCTCTCGCTGGTACTTTTTGGTTTCAGGGCAGCTGACGTGAACTAGCCTCGCCGTTTTTTGTTGTTGCTACTTCTGGGCCTCCTGGGCGCGCGATGTGCGAGTGTGCGGGCGCACTCGCGTGCATATTTATCGGTGTGCGTCCACGTGTGGTTGGAATTGTATGGAAGCCACTGCGATGATTGTTTTACAAGGATGGGCCCGTGCGTTGGTAGTTGTGCATCGCTCGTGCGTGGGCTTGCTGCTGATGCGCGCTAACCTCCTCTCCCCTAGTCCTGGGGAATGCGCAATTCGTCGGTCCCCTCAGATGCGCTTCTAGGGCTGCGTGCCTACGTATCCATGTGCTGTCTCTGTAGGAGCAGAGCGGTTCCTCCCGAGCACAGAGGCCGCCCTGCAAGGTTGGTGACCGCCAGCGTCTCGCCACGTCAGAGTTTCCAGCAAGGCCGCTCCACCACCGGCAATTGCGGCGGCACCGAGGCGAAGCGAGAACTCCACGAGTCCGATCCGATCCACCGCTTCCTCCTCCCCATCCTCCTTCTCCGTCTTCTCCTCCTCCTTCTCCTCCTCCGCCTCCTCCTCCTCCGCCTCCTCTTTCTCCTCCTCCTCCGCCTCCTCCTCCTCCTCCATGTCCGCCTCCCCCCACCCGGGCCACCGGAGCCATTACATCTCCGAAGAAGAGGGTGCGGATCTCGTCCAGCGTGTCCACCTTCCCGTCCTCGTTGCTGTCGAGATGCTTCATGGTCTCGTCGAATGAGACCTGCGGAGGAAACGGCCGCTGGGCTCCCCTGGGGGAGGAGGAGGGAGCCGTATGAGGAAGAGGAGGAGGAGGAGGACGAGGAGGAGGAGGAGGAGGAGGAGGAGGAGAAGGAGCAGGAGGTTGAAGGGGCCCTGGGACACACAAATAAATAGACACAAATAAAAGGATTCCCCACATTTTCCGATATTTTCTGGGTTTTTGTCTTCCCCCCACTTCGCATGCCGGCACAACACCGAGCAACGGCGCCGCTGTGGTCGAGAAACGCAGTGCGACCACACACATGCCGATGCCCTCGACACCCTGCCCCAGCCCGACGTTCCAGACGCCAACCAGGACCACGAGGAGACGAAAGAGAGGGGCCTCGACGACGACGCCGACGACCCCCCCACACCTCACTCCAACCAGACGAGGGCATGGATGATTAGAAGGCGGAGGAATGCCACGACGCCCTCCATCATTCTCTTTCCCGCCCACAGCAGCCCGACCCCGTCCCCACGACGCCGAACCCCTTCCGCCGACGACCCATCCCTTACCGCGCACGAGGCGTTGTGACCGACGTTATCCCAGACCTCCATCGCGCCCCAGCGTTACGACGATGCCCCTAACTAGCCCGACAGACCCGGCGCCCAATTCCCTCCTCACGACGTCCTACCCCACGCCCCATTCGACTGCCTACGATGCGCCCTGTTCGACTCCCAGCCCGACGCTTCACCCCTATCCCGACGCCCTCCCTGATCCACCCCGCACGACAGTACCGAGCGGCAGAGGGTGCGTGGTCGAGACGAGCAACATGACGCCCCACCCATTTCCCACGAAGCCTCTCCCAGCGACGCCCAGCGACGCCCTACCCAACGCCCAACCCGACTCCCTGCCTGACGCCCGCAAACGCACCACCAAGTACGCCCTGAAACTCGCAGCGCGGCGGCTGCGCCTACGGTGCTGGCTCTGCGACGGGCTTAGCAGAATGGCCACGTACTCGAGTGATTCGTACGAGCACGGGTGGGACTGCGTCAACATCCACCTCTGCGGAGGCCAAGGTCCGCTGAGCTCCTATGTAAAAGGTGGCCCTGCGACACCTGCGGCCACGGCCTCTGCGCAGCATGTGCAGTGACGTTGCGCGGACACCGCGAACACGACCACGACCCTTGTCCCAACCCTGACCTTGACCGACGCCTTTTCCCTGCCCCACGATGCCCTGACCCTTCTCCGCTGTGCCCCCGACTCCCTTCGCGCCCCACGAGCTAGGAACATGATCCACGAGGCCGTCTTCGCACCATGGCTGTCCCATGATCCTGACATAGGAGAGACTCAGAAGAAAATAACGTCTTAAACAGAAACTTTTGGCGCTCCGCGCGGATTTCTTGAATCTGCGCTGGACCCTCCTCCCTGGCGCGCGGAGCGCGCCAAGTCTCGGCGCCGGAGGCGCAGCCGGGGGGGGGCCCAGCGCGGATCCAAGAAAACCGCGCGGAGCGCCAAAAGTTTATGCTTATTGCATTTTTTCTTCTTCGATGATACTTCCCCTCCGACTCCGACGCGGACGCCGACTCCTCCTCCTCCTCCTCCTCCTGCCCCTGCTCCTCCTCCTCCTCCTCGTCGTCCTCCTCCTCCACCTCCTCCTTCTGCTCCTCCTCCTCCTCCTCCGCCTCCTCCTCCTCGACTCGCCCCAGCCTTCCCGCAGCCGACCCGACGACCTCACCACACAGCCTCCCCATGCCGCCGCTGGCGCTCGCCAGCCAGGGACCTCGGCGCGAGGGCTTCTCGAGGCTCTCTGGGGCCCCGGGGGGCGGCAGAGACCACTTTGGCCTTCCGCGGCGGCCAGCAGGAGGGCAGGGATGCTGAATCTGATACTGATGATGACGATGATGATGACAATGACGACGATGATGACGATGACGATGACGATGACGATGACGATGACGATTTTTTCAGCGCATATTTTGGGAGAGGGGGGGAAAGGGAAGGGCAGGGAACGCGCGACGCACCAGTCAGAAGCCACTCGCCTTCAAGTGCCAGCAACGCCACTGGCGGACAAATCGTGCCCCCCCTGTGGACTGCAAGGGCCCAAACAAATGTCACGGACTCGGTGCACCGGCGAAGTTCCGCCACTGCTTGGGAGAGCACTCCCCCAACAACGCGTGGCTCTAAACCCGCCGCTGGGGGCGCGCGCGGAGCAGCGGAGGGAGGAGGAGGAGAGGAGGGGACGAAAGGGGGAGCAGAAGGGGGACAGGAGGGAAAGAAACTGCAAGCTGAACTAAACCCTGACGGGTTATCAATAAGCGAATGTCCCCTGCCCCGCAGGCGAACACACCTGCACTCCGAGACGACCCACGCCAACGCAACTACAGTGCGCAGCACAAAGTATCAAAGCGAGTGAAGCGGATGTGAAGACTCGTCAAACATTGGCGGAGGGCCGAAGCCACACGACGCGGCTGACCGATCGGCCAGGCGGCTGCGAGGGCAGCCATCGCCACACATGCATGTCCGGAGCGCCGCCCAGCGAATACGGGCTGGATAGGGGAAACACTGCAACGAGCACCTCAAACATCAAACACGTGTAAGAGGAGGGAAGAGAAGGAGAGAAGGGCCCAGGCTCCGAGCCGCGGCAGTCCTCAGAGGGTCGGGCCGAGAGACGCAGTCACGAGGCTCCTGCGAAGGGCCCTGCCACCACCCCGAACCCCCGCGCCAGCGGAAACCGTGGCATCGGTGCGCTGGGGTCGAGGTCGACGACCTAATCTGAAGGGGCCCCAGGACACACACAAATAAATACACACACAAATAAACATATTCCCCATATTTCCCTATATTTTCTGGGTTTTTGTCTTCCCCCCCACTTCCCATATTTTCCCATATTTTCCTGGGGATCGACGATTAATTGTGTCTGTGTGTTTTTCCCTCCTGATAATCAGAAGACAGAGGCAGAAGCTGGCGTTGACGCTGGGGTCGGTGCTGGCGTCGGCGCCGTGGGCGCTCCTAAGCAAGGAGTCTGCCGTCCATCCGCCCCAGCAGCACGCAACAGATTAGAACCAAGGATGCTCCCGCACACACGGAGCCGACACAGTGTATCTCGAGATGCTCCCGCGCAAACGGAGCCAAGACAGTCTATGATAGCGACGGAGCTGACGTCGGCGCTGGCATCGGTAGTGGTGTTGGCGTCGGAGTCGATAGTGACGTTGACCGGAGTGGATAGTGACGTTGAGGCGTCAGTGCTGGCAACGGAACTGTAGTAAGCGTCGGCGCCGGTGTCCACGTCGGCGTCAGAGCTGACGACGGTTCTGGCGCAGGCGTCGGAGTTGGAGTCAGCATCAATGCTGTCGATGGTGCTGGCGTAGGCGTTGGCGTCGGTGCCGGTGTCCACGTCGGCGTCGACGTCAGAGCTGACGACGGTGCTGGCGTAGGCTTTGGCGCTGGAGACAGCGACAATTCTGTCGATGGTGCTGGCGTAGGCGTTGGCGTCGGTGCTGGGGTCGGCGTCGACGATGGTGTCGGCGTCGATGCTAGCGACGGTGCTGGCACTGGCGTAAGCGCTGGCGTCGGTGGCGGCGTCGACGCCGGCGTCGTACCAGTCGTCGGCGCCGGCGACGGTCTTGGCGTCAGCGCTGGAGTCAGTGCTGGAGTCGGTGTCGACCTCGGCGTCGGCGTCGGTGCTGTTCACGGTGCTGGCGTAGACGCCAGCGTTGGGGCGTCATTGCTTGCCGACGTGGTGTCGTGATCAAGTCTGGGTCACCATGTGAAGTCTCGTGGAGCCAGGGGGGCCGCTTTGTTGAGTGCATCTCTGCATGAGTAATGCACGGGACTGTACGTAGACGTTGTGGCCCGCAGACTGGAGAGCCCAAGCCATTCATCATGTTGGCGTCGGTGCTGGCCATGCTGCTGGCGTGGGGGGCGGCGTCGGTGCTGGGGACGGTGCCGATGGCGGCGTCGGCGTCGGTGCTGGCGACGGTGGCGGCGTAAGTGCTGGCGTCGGTGCCGGGGTGGTGAGATCTGGCTGGAAATCAGCACGAGTAGGTTAATTCCGAAACCATCAATTCCACGAAGTGGGATAAATGTGAAGCATGAGTAGGTTAGCCCCGAAACAGTAACAGTCATCCCACGAAATGGGATAAATCATGCGCAACCTCATTTAGGAATTCCAGTGGTTCCCTGAGTGTCGGCCAGAGCGGTGCTGACTACCAACACCCCAACACAACAAGTCATCAGGGGTCGGCGCCGTGGCTGGCGTTGGCGTCTGTGTCAGCGACTGTCGTCTCGGCGCGGGCTGGCGTCGCACAAGTTCATGAGCCTGGCGGCATTATACCACCATGTTTGGGAGGAAAACAAACCTACCTCGCTTTTGACCACCCTCGCTTCCAAGAGATACCAAACGATGCCAAACTACGGCCTGTACTGGTCAGGCCGCTCGACGAGGAGGCGCGTGGCATGGCTTGGTTTTGCCCGGAAGCGAAAGCGGGGCATGTCATGTACGCTCTGAGTGTTGTCAAACACAGCGCGGGCGGCATCTGTGTCACCGTCGCCGCAGCCGTCGTGCCACACGTCGCCCCCCCGTCGCTGTCAGAAACATCGTCGTCGCGAACGGCCGCTGGTAATCGGCAAGCCCGTCGTAGCCGAGCTTCGCCGCGGACAGCCTCGTGCACCAATTGCCCCATGATTCGGGTCGGGCGAAAGGGGGGGATAGCAAAGGGGGGGTTTGAGAATCAGCTCACGTAGCTGATTTTCCCGGCGCCTCCCGGCGCCGGAGGCGGCTATGTATCGAGGAATGGGCCCCTCGGTGAGGCCGAAACCAGCTGCATGGAGCAAATTTCGTAACCCCCCCTTTCCCAATCCCCCCCTTTCGCCCGACCCGACAATTGTCCCATGATGGTCCGGGAGGCCCTTGTTCTGTCTTCCGCTGCGTCGAAGGCCCGTCGGCGCACCTGATTGACAGCCCTGTACAAAAACGTAAGCCTTGGTAGCCTGGACCTGAAGCTGCTGGTCTGTCATGTTGACGGCGAGGAGACCATGTGCTGGAGAACGTCTCGCCGCAGTAGTCCCGAGACGGGTGGTCGCCCACTCTCTGAACACAGGGCAATGAAAATAATGTTCCACCGAGTCGTGCGCCGTGCGTGAGCATCCGAGTACGCAAGGTCGTGGTTGTCCTCGACGGTGGCGCATGCGTCGGTCCGTTGTCCAGCGGTTGAAAATCGTGCTCAGGGTCGCTGCACGCAGCCTCGGTGACACCAACCTCTTCAGCATCCCCAATTGTCTGAGCACTCTTCTGGAAATCCGCTCCGCTGGTCCAGTGAGACGCCATCTATCCAGTCGCCCCCGCAAGCGCCATTCAGCGCAGTAGCCGTCTCGTGACAGTATCTGGCCCACGAACCATGTCTGCGTGTTTTTCCTGATCCTATTGTCGCGTTGCTCTGTAATCGCCCCCGTGACGCCGCCTCCCAGCGCAGCCCTCGCAGCATGGACGTGCACGCCGCAACGCGCATGTTCTTTAACAGCGGTCAACGCTACTGTGGGTATGTGTCGGTCGAGCCATTCGCTCCATCTAGCCAATCGCCTGTCTTGTCGGCACCGCCTGCGTGCGACAGCGAACCCGTTGGCCTAGTCCTCCCGTAAGCGTGAACACGTAGCATCGCCGCCGTGCAAAACGCCGCCAGTGGCCGTAGAGCCGCCGCAAAGCCAAAATCTGCACCCTGCTGCATACCCGCCGGGCTGCATCCATGTCCTGGCCCAGTGGCCACGCGCCGGGCTGCCGCCGCCTCCCTGTCGAGGACGTGCTTCGGCGGACGCTCCAGCTAAGCCGCCACGAAGAGCATGGTCGGGAGCACGTGGGTGTTGTACGCCACGATCGCCATGTTGATGCCTAACTCACCCCGCTTCCAATCGGAGAGTCTCGCAGTGTGTTTGGCCGACGGCGTCTGCCAAGGCCGCGAGCCCTTGCCCGGGCCGGTGAAGTGGCCCAGATGTTTGCCCGACGTGGCCCGTGTCACCTGCACGGCCGCCTCGTCGTTGTGCGTGTCTTCCTGGAGGCGGGCGACGTCAGCCTCCCAGAGCGGGACAGCCACCGACTTGGATAAGTTGGGGGCCACGTACGATACCCTTCGGAAAACTTCAAAAACCTGGAAAGCCCGTCTGCGGTCAAGGCTCCAGCCCTTACACTCGGGGCCCTGAAGAAGGAACCCTTTTCGTTGGGGAGGGGCTCCGTGTTCCTTGATTGCTTCACAATTTGCCTTGGGTTTTGCTTTGGTTTTCGATGGGAAATCGAAGTCTAACTTGTGGATCTAAGGGGCCTCGTTCCTTATTTAGGGTTCCTTGGGTCAACGCTCCGACTGTAAGTACCATGGCTGCATCGTCAGCGAAGGCTCGCGTCGTCGCCGTCGGCACCCGGAGGCCCAACATACGCAAAAGGCTGCCGGAGGCCAGCGCGAACAACAACGGTGATACTGGGCATCCCCGCCGGATCCCCGCCTCCAGGGGGACCCGGCCATGCATTTGACCATGCGTGAAAAAAACACGCCCATGGTCAGTGGTAGAAGGACTCTAAAACCCGCCTCGCCGATGCTGGGAAACCTGCGGCCCTCGCCATGGACATCAGATGCCGCCTCGAAATTGACGGAAACGCCGCTGTAAAATCGTACAGGATAATGGCGCCGTCTTCTTCCTCCATGGCGGCCATGCCTGCGTGGTGCTCAATGTCAATGATGTTTGTAAGCATGGACCAACCCTCGTTGTTCTTTTGCGATACCTGGTGCCACAATCGGTTCCCATCGCATCCTGTAGGCATTGGCGATGACCCTGTTGCACGTGTTGGTAATTGACAATGGTCGAGTGCCAGCTGGCCGCTACGTGCTTTCGCCGTTCGCGCTGTTCCGAACGGCCTGCTTAGGTAAACAACAGAGAAGCGACTCCTCGAAGGCGTCGCGCGCTTCGTTCCCAGCCGTCAAACCTTCCTCGAGGAGCTGGCCCGCCTCCCGCGGCAGCTGCACTCCGAGCGGCCCTGACTGTCTCCACGCTGGAAACGGCATTCCGTCCTGCCCTGGACGCGAGCTCCCCGTAGTCCGGAGGGCTCGCTCCACGTCCTTCGAACGAAGCCGCCAGGATGTCTGGGGGACAGCAGCGCGCCGACTTCCAGCGCGCGCCGCCAACTCCGTCCAAACCGATAACGTCCTTTCGTCGATGGGCCTGCTTTGAAACACGCGTGACCAATGTGCCGCCAACTGCGCGGCAGTCTCCGTTTCATCTGAGAGAACATCACCGCCATCGGCTTCCAGGAGGTGGACACCAGCATCGCATGTGCCGCGAGCGAGCCGAGAGAGCGGTGGACTGATCGAATTCTGTTGTGAGCGTCTCCGGTGTTCGTCGCCGAATACGAGAGGCCGTGGAGTTCACGAAACACGAGCTACTGGCGGATATGCGGGAGTGATGATGATGATGGTGATGATGATGATGATGATGATGATGATGATGATGATGATGGTGATGATGATGATGATGATGATGATGATGATGATGATGATGATGATGCCCCCCCCCAGCCCCACAGGTCTACGGCCAGGAACTCTCGCACAGCGTGTCGCGGCGGCCCTGGTGGCACGCTGTGCCGTGCGCGTGGGTGGCGCGTCGCTCCGCGCCGCGGGAGGCTCGGAGAGGCGCGGGACGTGGGCGCTTGTGGACCAGGACGTGGATAGCGTGCTGCGCCGAAGCGCGGTGGGCCAGAACTGGCGGCGCCACACGCCAGCCAAACTCGGCGGTGGACGAACCTCCCTTTAGTACACCTCCCCTTCGTGAAAACGGCCCGGGACCGAAGCCGACGGACCTGGACCAGCAAAAGCGACGGCCCGCGGCGCCCTCTCGCGAACCGAAGACGGCCAACTCCTCAGTCGACGCGTCAGGGTAGGAGGCCTGCTCATCTCCGACAGACGCTCCCGACGCAGATCTGGGCCCGCGGCGCCCCTGGGTCTGGCGGCCGGCCCCGGCCCCGCAGGTGGAGGCCTGGGCCCGTGGCCCTCCCCCCCACGCGCCCACCGCAGCTCCGGGTCTGGACCGGGGGGGGGGGGCCCCGCCTCTCGGCTCCGTCTCCCACGGCGGCGCCCCCGCAGTTGCCCCAGGGGGGGGCGAGGAGAAGGGAGGGGAGCTCCTGGCCTCCGGGCGGTGCGAAGAGCAGCACGGCGGACGTCCTTCCCTGGAGCCGAGAGGACTTCCGTGCCCACCGCAGGTCCGGATCTGGACGACCGGGGGGGGGGGGGGGCGCCTCTCGTTCCCGTCTCCCACAGCGGCGCCCCGCAGCTGCCCAGGGGTGTGGATGCCACGACCAGTGGACACCCTAACAGTCCTACATCCTTGAATGGAAGCTGTGTGCGAAAATGTCGAAAGCATGTTCTGAACTTTTTTTTAAATAAAAAATTAGATAAAACAAACAAAAACATGTTTAGAACATGTTTCACACATGCTGTAGACATCTGGAACTTCTTTGGCAACATGCCTCCTCTCCATGGATCGTCCTCCACAAGCCTACTCCAGATTTCGTAATAAAGGGAGGGGGGTCTCATTTCGGGGGGGTCTCTTCCAGGCCATCTTGGGGGGCCTGGGGGGGTCTGGGGACGGTGTTTTGGAGGGTTCTCCCACGGGGGGGGGTCTGAAATGGCTTGTCTTGGAGGGTCCAGACCCCCTCCCTTTTATTACGAAATCTGGCGTAGGGGGGGCGCGAGGAGAAGGGAGGGGAGATCCTGGCCTCCGGGCGGTGCGAAGAGCAGCCCGGCGGACGCCCTTCCCTGGCGCCGCGAGGACCTCCGCGCCCGCCGGGGACCGCCCGTCGGCGGACAGCCCCGGAAGCAGACGCCGGGCGGCCCGCGGGCGCGCGCCACCGCGACCTGGCGACACTCCTGCTTCCTGTTTCCTGCTCGCAGGCCGCCGAGCTGGAGCACGACCTACCCAGACCCCCTCGAGTTATGAAAAAATCACGACGCGAGGTTTTTCATGATTTTCGGCCTCTCGGGGCCCTTACCGGCCCTCGGGACCGTCAAAAAACGACTCAGGACGAAAAACCGGTCCCGGGGAATGGGTCCGGACCTCTGGGGGTCGACGTCATGAAAAATTCATGACGTCGGGGGTCTGGGTACTCTGCCCCCCAAGCCCGTGCGAGCCCCGCGCGCGTCCCGCCCTCCCTCCCTTCGCCTCCCGCCGGCTCCACGCTCGACTCCGGCGCGCCCGCCCTCAGGCGTCCCAGCTGCGCCTCCCGACGCCCGCGCCGGCTCCGGGCGCGTCGAAGGCGCCGAACTTGCACCACTCGGCGATGGCCTGCATGCCGCCCTCGCCCCCGCCCCCCTGCAGGAACTTGAAGAAGTCCTCTGAAGGGGCCCTGGGACACACAAACAAATACACACACAAATACAAAGATTCCCCAGATTTTCCAATATTTTCTGGGTTTCTGTCTTCCCCCCACTTCCCATATTTTCGCATATTTTCTTGGGAATCGACGATTCATTGTGTCTGTGTGTATCTTTCCCTCCTGGTCCTCGGCGTTGCTCGCCTGCGCCTCGCGCTGGTCCTTCAGCGCGATCTTGGGCAGCGCCTCCGAGGCGCACTTCGGGCAGCCGCCGTCCGCCGGCACGCAGTAGGAGTGGTAGGAGTGGCCGCAGAAGAAGTGCACGGCGGGCACCTCTGGGGAAGCAAACAAAAATACCGATACTAGGGGGAAGACAAACCTACCTCGCTTTTGACCACCCTCGCTTCCAAGAGCCACCAAGCGAAATTCCAAATTGCGGCCTGCACTGGTCAGGCCGCTTGACGAGGAGGCGCGTCGTATGGCTTGGTTTTGCCTGGAAGCGAAAGCGGGGTAGGTACTCCAGATTTCGTAATAAAAGGGAGGGGGTCTGGACCCTCCAAGACAATCCATTTCAGACCTCCCCCGTGGGAGAACCCTCCAAAACACCGTCCCCAGACCCCCCCAGGCCCTCCAAGATGGCCTGGAAGAGACCCCCCCCCGAAATGAGACCCCCCTCCCTTTATTTCGAAATCTGGAGTGATTACCTTCTCCTCCTCTGAACCTCCAGGGAGAGCCCGCACTGGAAGCACCTCGTGTTCTGGAAGACCTGGGCTCGTGTCCGCAGCTCCCCGATCTCCTGCTGCATCCGGGCGATCTCCTGCCGGTCCTGCTTTGCTCGGCCCCTCGACGTCTCCACGGACTCCACGAGCCTCCGGAACTGGCCCTGCAGGTATGGCCGGACGGCCCCCACCGTCGTGTGTGGACTTCGCTGGAGGGTCTCGATGACCATCAGGAGCGGCATCAGATCGCTCTCCTCCACGTGCCGCAGCACCTCGCCAATCTCCTCCGTGTGGTCCCCCTCGTCGGAGCCCAGGAACGAGAGAGCCTGGACCCAAAGGCTCTGGTCCACCGAGCCGCATCGCTTGCACACCTCCAGCAGCCGCTTGGCGTCGCGTCGCTCGAAGCACCAGCTCATCAGCAGCTGGAACCTGCCGAGCTTCTCGGCGGCGTAGAAGAAGCCGTCGACAAAGCTGAAGGTCTGGCAGGTCATCAGGGTGCTCACGAGCGCCTCCTCGCTGGGGTACTGTCGCACGAGGCGCATGACCTCCGCGTGCAGCTTCTGGCGGCGGTCCTCGTCGCGCTCGTCGCGGTGGGCGCGCACCATCAGCTCCAGCAGGGTGGGGAACAAGCGCTCGGCCTCCGCGTGGGGCAGCGGGCAGCTCCCGGACGCGAGGAGGATGCCGCGCAGGAAGAGCTCCAGCTGAGGCTGGCTGTCGACGAAGACTGGCAGCAGCTCGTCCACCGGGGGAGGCGGGTCGTCCTCGGAGCCCTCGGCCCTGGGGCCGCCGTCGCCGAGCCCGCAGACGTCCCTCACAACCTCCACGGTCTGCTCGGGCGCGTGCCTCATCAGGAGGCGGCCGTGCTGCAGCAGGATCTTGCCCGCCTCCTTCTTGCGGAGGGTCCTCAGGAAGTCGACGGTCTGGGCGTAGCCCTTGAAGTGCTCCAGGGAGATCTGGACGAACTCCTCGTGGCGCCCGGCCTTCTGGGCGATGTCCGCGGCGAGGCCGTAGTACCCAGCGCCCTCGAGGACCTCGATGGCGGTCCCCGGGTCGTACTGGGAGGGAGGCGTGGTCTCCAAGAACTCCTCCAGGGCCGAGAAGTCCTTGAGCTTGGTGTAGCACTTCAGCAGGAGCGCGGTGTGCTCCCGCTCGGCCAGCTTCTCCTTCAGCTCAGGAGGGGCTGAGGAGGAGGAGGAGGTGGAGGAGGAGGAGGAGGAGGAGGAAGAGGAGGAGGAAGAGGAGGAGGAGGGGGACTATAGGCCTTGTGCAGAGCCTTGAGGTAGCGGGCCACGTGGCCGATCCGCTGCGCGTCCAGGTAGCGCTCGACGACGTAGGACGGCTCGAGGGGCAGCCCCAGGCCGATGGTCTTGGCGTAGACGACCAGCGCCTGGTCGTACGCGCGCTTCTCGAAGAGGGCATCCCCGTGCTGCCTTTCGGTCGGGCATGTCATCCTACGGGCGGGTTTTTGGCGACAAAAATAATAATACTTCAAACAGATTGATAAGTAGGGAAATCGTTCCCAGGCACTCTTGGACTACTTGTGCGCATTTCTCCTGTAGAGGGACACGCCCGACTTCATGCTGCCTGTAGATGTCCGCGACGGTCTCTCCCGGGGAGCCGCCCTGTATGGCGACCTCGGCCGCCCACTCGAACATCCTCTTCTTGAGGAGGATGTCGAGCTGCTCCGGAAGGGCCTTCTCCCGGAGCTCGAACAGCAGCGTGTTGCCGTCGGCGCCGCCCCGCGAGAGGACGAAAATGCTCCCCATGCCCTCGGTGACATGGATGATGTCGGTGAACTGGCCGGTGTAGGCGATGAACCGCATGCTTGTCCTGTGCGCCGGCGCGCAGAGGGCGGTATGGGGGAGGGGAGGAGGCTTCTTAGAAGGGAGCCTGCTTCTCAGAAGGCGCTGGCCTCACCCATATAGACAAGGCTCGCGCCTGCTAAGGTGCAGGGGTACTTCTGAGAAGCCTCCTCCTATTCCCCCTACCCCCGTCTGCGCGTGGCTGACCTGTTCTGCGCGGACATGCAGTCGCGGCACACGACCACGTTCTGCTTCGGCATGGCAGAGGGCGAGGACGCGACAGTCCCGCCCAGGCCCCCGGGTGCACCCTCGGCGGTCACCGCCACGAAGTAGGGCCCGAATCTCGTGAGCAGCATCTTCTCGCCCTCCAGCGGCATCGCGGACATGTTCCCCTCCTCGGGGTCGTGCGCGAAGACGGCCTCCCCCCTCGCGACCAGTAGCGCGTTGATGCAGAGGATCGAAAAATACATAAACATACAAACTCGGAGGTCCGCGCGGATTTCTTGGATCCGCGCTAGACCCCCCTCCCTGGCGCGCGGAGCGCGCCAGGGGCGGCGCCGGAGGCGCCGCCAGGGCGCCTCAGCGCCGATCGGAGAAATCCGCGCGGACCTCCGAATTTTTATGCTTATGTCATTGTTCGTTCCCCTAGGATTGGCGGGAACACGCACGAGCAGAACTCGGCCGCACCGCTGGCCGTGTCCTCGCTCAGGAGCCTCACCTCGCTGTCCGCGTCGCTCTGCACCGCCCAGCACCGCACGGCCGTCATGCTGCACGCGAAGAGCACCGTCCGGGACCCCTGCTCCAGGAACTGGAGGCCGGTGATCGGGGGGCCGCCCTCCCCGCCCAGCACGGTGGGGAACGGCTTGTCCTGCGAGAGGTCGCGGCCCTTGAAGAGATACACCACGCCCGTGTCGACGCCGACGGCCAGGACGGTCAGGCCGGAGGTGGTGGCGAAGCAGGAAGCCCTGTGCTCCTGCGCCCGGGCCGGGAAGACGCGGAGTGAGTTCAGCAGCACCAGCTCCTCCCTGCCGGCGTCGAAGACCTTGAGCTTGCAGGCTCCTGTGGCCGCCAGGTCGTTTCCGAGAGCCACCAACCGCTGACCGCCTCTGGCAACCTTCAGGTCGAGCAACTCCTTGTCGTAGGTCGACACTGGCTGCGATAGGCTGAAGTGTCGGTCCAGGCGCCGCACCTCACCGCTGCGGCTGCCGAGCCACAGGTGGTCCGGCCCTCCGGCGGCGCAAGCGATGCTGAGCTTCTGGACGCCGACGTGGAGGTCGGCTCCTTCCGACTTCACCACGTGGCGGTCGAAGAAGTTCAGTCTCCGTAGCTTCTGCATCCTTCACGAGCGGCGAACACATACTCCAGATTTCGTAATAAAGGGAGGGGGGTCTTATTTCGGGGGGGGTCTCTTCCAGGCTATCTTGGAGGGCCTGGGGGGTCTGGGGACGATGTTTTGGAGGGTTCTCCCACGGGGGAGGTCTGAAATGGCTTGTCTTGGAGGGTCCAGGCCCCCTCCCTTTTATTACGACATCTGGAGTATCCGTATCCGCGCCCTCGCGGCCTGGACTCCGCGGCGCGATGCCGCAGATATCCGCGGTCGCGCGGCGACGTTCCGCGCGGGGCATATCCGCGAGACAAACGCCCCGTAATTATCCGCGGGGTCGCGGCCCAGGGACTCGGCCCGCGAGGCCGCGGAGACGGATATTTTTGAGTCGGGCGTGGGGGATTTTCGACGAAAAATGACAAATACCGTACCCCAAACAGACTCCAACATGGTCCAACAAATACAAAAAAATCGTCCCCAGAGTTATTTTTGTTGACTCTTTTTGAAGATTCCCCCTGCAGAAGGACAGGCCCGACTTCAGGAGATTTGCTTCGCCCACGAGTCCAGCATGCCCGGCCCCTGCAGGCCCCCCCCCCCCGCGCGCAGGTGGCCTTGCGCGGAAGCCAGGGCGCGGCTCGAGCCAGCATGGGCACGTAGGTCAACGCCCCGACTGTAGTGCCGTGCACTCCGCTTTTGGCATTCATCTCATGCCATGTCCCTCGCTCGCCGCCGTGGAAGAAGAGAACGCCTAAAGAGAATCTTTTGGCGCTCCGCGCGGTTTTCTTGGATTCGCGCTGGGCCCCCCCCGCGCGCAGGTGGCCTTGCGCGGAAGCCATAACAGGGGATATGTCGACCCCTATCCCAGGCTTCGTGGGGTTTCCGAATGGATCAGAAATTTGGGGCCCAACCCTGGGATATACGAGGGGGGGGCGTCCATCCTCGACAGGGGTGCGTTCGAATAGCCCCCTCGGGATGTATCCCAAGATTCCTCCCCTTTTCTGAGCGACCAAACTTTTCTGGCGGAAGTCGGGGATTGGGGGAGAGAAATCGCCTGCGAAGCCAGGGCGCGGCTCGAGCCAGCGTGGGCCCGGCCGCCGAGGGCGCGATGCCTCCCTTCGGCCGCTCGCGGGCGCGCTGGCGGCCGCAAGCGCAGCCCTCCAGCGGTGGACAGACCTCCCTTTGGCAGACCTCCCCTTACAGGGCAGTTTTAAATACATAGGAGTTTTTTTTTTTTTTTTTTTTTTTTTTTTTTATTTTAATATGGGATTTTTAATACATGGTCGATTCATGAATAAATGTATGCATGAACCCATCGTTGTCTTTAGTACAACATCCTCTTGCATCTTCAATACATGACCCGCACGCGGAGCATGTGTTAAAAAACGGCACTGGAGTGAAAACGGCCAAAAAAGTTGCATAAACATAAAAACTCGGAGGTCCGCGCGGATCTCTCGGATTCGCGCTAGGCCCCCCTCCCTGGCGCGCGGAGCGCGCCAGGGGCGGCGCCGGAGGCGCCGCCAGGGCGCCTCAGCGCCGATCGGAGAAGTCCGCGCGGACCTCCGAATTTGTTTGCTTATGTCGTTGTTCTCGGCGGTGGACAAACCTCCTTTTAGTAAACATCCCCTCAGTGAAAACGGCCTGGGAACGAAACTGACGGACCTGGACCCGCAATAATGGCGGCCGCGACGCCCTCTCGCGAACTGGAACCGGCCAGGTCGCTAGAATCGACGCGTCAGGGCAGGAGGTCCGTCCACCTCCGATCCCTGTAGAGGGGCATGCCCGACTTCAGGGCAGGCTGCTCGGCTTGGCCTGGGTGGTGTGGGGCGACGGGAGGTGGTGCTTCTCTCGGGCCGGGCGAAAGGGGGGGATGGCAAAGGGGGGCTTTGAGAAGCAGCTCACGTATAGCTGATTTTCCCGGCGCCTCCCGGCGCCAGGAGGCGCCCAGGTATCGAGGAATGGGCGCCGGCGGGGCCGAAACCAGCTGCATGCAGCATATTTCGTAACCCCTAAATAAAACAGGCATAAGATCGGGATAAATCGCTCCAGAGCGTTCCGGAGCGCTCTCAGAGCGTTCCGGAACGCTCTGGAGCGGCCGCGGCGCCCAGTACATCCTCCAAGCCCGCCGATTCTCAGAGATTTCGAGTTATCCCGATCCGATTTTGTCCCGATCTCGCGTCGTTTTCACCCCTCCTTTCCCAATCCCCCCCTGTCGTCCGGCCCGACTCTCCGCGGCCGCTCGCCGGGCCCCTCCCGGGCCCCGAGCTCCCGGGGGCAGGCCGCGTGCGCCGCGCCCCCGGGCCCCGGATGGGCCCAACGCCAGCGGCGGCAGCGGAAGGGGAAGGAAACGGCTCAGCCAGGATCAAAGGGGCCCTGGGACACGCAAATAAATACACACAAATCAAAGGACCCCCCACATTTCCGAATATTTTCGGAGTTTCTGTCTTCCCCCCCCCACTTCCCATATTTTCCCATCTTTTCGGGGGGAATCGACGATTCATCGTGTCTGTGTGTTTCTTTCCCTCCTGAAGGATGGGCTCAGCCAGCGGCGGCAGTAGAAGAGGAAAGAACGGCTCAGCCAGGAGGGGCTCAGCCAGCGGCGGCAGTGGAAGAGGAACAAAGCGTCATGAGCATGAACCTTCGGGCGCTCCGCGTCGAGAGGCCGCGTCGAGTCCGCGCCAAATCCGCGCCAGGCACAGGAGAAGACACCAGTTCGGGGGAGAGGCAGGGTTCCCCGAGGATGTAACGGACGCTGGCGTCTCTAGAAGAAGACAAAGCGGCATGAACAGCAATTTTTGGCACTCCGAGCGGATTTCTTGGATCTGGCCTGGACCCCCCTCCCTGGCGCGCGGAGCGCGCCAGGGGCGGCGCCGGAGGCGCCGCCGGGGGGGCCAGCGCGGATCCAAGAAATCCGCGCGGAGCGCCAAAACATTATGCTTATGTTTTGTTGTTCTTCTGCGAGGTAGGTGTGCGTGTGTGTGTGTGTGTGCAGATTTTGGGAGGACAGAAAAGCCGAGACCAGCAGGAAGAACGTACTTTCCACATTGCCTTTGGAATCGTGCTTGGAGCCAGATCGAGCCCGTCCTGGCTCGCCGAACCGCGGGGGAGAGAAGCTGGGAGAGAACAGGTCAGCATCGCTTGAGAGGCCCACCAGCACGGCCCGCCAGCGACGGGTGCCAGAGTCCGGAGCCTCCCCGAAAAACCAGATTGGACAACGGCCGAGACAGGCCCAGGGCGACCTATGCCGAGCGCTCTGGATTCTCAGCCCTGTGCTGGCGCGTAGTCGCCCGCAGGCAGCCAGAGGTCGGCGGTGGACAAGCCTCCCTTTAGTAGACCTCCCCTTCGTGAAAACGGCCTGGGACCGAACCCGGGGGACCTGGACCCGCAAAAATGGCGGCCGCGACGCCCTCTCGCGAACCGAAAACGGCCAATTCCTGAATCGGCGTGTCAGGGCAGGAGGTCTGTCCACCCCCGAAGAGGGAGGGGTCGGGGCGGTGCGTCGGAGCGGGGGCGGGGGGGAAGGAAGGGGGCTCCCTGAGCCTGTGGGCCGACCTCCTTCTGCGGGACGCGTGCCCGCTGGAGCGTCAGGCGTGGCCAGTGCCTCCGCTGGGGTGAGCGAAGGTCTCGCCTCAGACAGTAACTGTGGGGTCTGCAGTGGCCCGCCTCCAAGGCCTAGTGCGTGTCGGGCTGCTGCGCGTGAGATCATGCTGTAGTGCAGTGAGGTCAATAGCACAGTCAGGACTCCATGAGTCGTTCTAGGTCCACTTCTCCTCCTCGTCCTCCTCCTCGTCCTCCTCCTCCTCCTCCTCCTCCACCTCCTCCTCCTCCTCCTCCTCCTCCTCCTCCTCCTCCTCCTCCTCCTCCCCCTCCTCACGTCCTACACAGCTCCTCCTCCCTCCTCCTCTTCCTCCTTCTCCTCTTCCTCCTCTTCCTCCTCCTCCTCCTCCTCCTCCTCCTCCTCCTCCTCCTCAATTCTCAACTCTCAGCCCTAAGGCCCAGGTCACACAAGCCGGTGCCAGCATCAAGACGCCACTGGAAAAGTTGGGACTCGTAAGGACCGATGGCTCATACTGCTCATTGGCCTCATGTGGGTCGCTGGAAGGAAAGACAGGGATGGCCCGCGGCGTCCTGCACCGTTCCTCAGCACGTTCGTTGACAGCGGGCAGGCGAGCGCGAAGACACGGACGAAGGTACGCAACTTAGACTCAGGATTTCCTTGTCCAGAAGGGATCTTGGTGCTGGTGCCGGGTTCTGGCGCGCCGAAATTTCGTCGGCCGATGGTGGTGGCACCACGGATCACCACTGATGCCCCGCCAGAGCCACAGGGAGGCACGACGAGGCTCGGGGTTGCGCGCAGGCTGCCCCCAGGTTAGTCCCGAGGGCCTCAGCAGGGGCGGCCTCATCACCTTCCCATCCTGCGGCGGCGACCCGCGCCCCGGGGTTGGGGTATAGAGACCGCCCTGGGCTACCCTGGGGGTCCGTTGAGGCCAGGCGGGGCTACCTCTGAGAGCTGTCTGTGCACAGTCCCCAGCCTTGACAGGGGGGGCGGCAAGGGGCCTGGAAAACCTTCTTGGTGGTGTCACGGAGCTGGTTCAGCATCCAAGTCCGGTCCGTATCGTCCACCAAACGGTCGCCGAACACCCTCAAGATCTCGTGCACCCAGAGCCGGATGTGCCGGTCTGGGCCCTCGCTCTCGGGCTTCTTCAGCAGCAAGACTCCAAATATAACCTCCGGCGGGACCCTTCAGAAGCGTGTGCGTGTGTGTGTGTGTGTGCCGTGTGTGCTGTGTGTGCTGTGTTTGTGTATGTGTGCGTGCCTGCCCAGCGTGCGTCGACGGCATCGTTAAGGCTACCCACTGTGAGGAGACAACCATGAGTGCAATTCGTTGCACGTGAGCGTCACATGGACTGTGCCCTTCTAAGGATACCAGAAGCACGTTGTGATATCATGCAGTTCACGTTGATCTGTGCCACCTCAACGGCCGATTCGCTCTGACAGGAGAGCGGGGCCTCCTGGACAGACACTGGTCCCCGCTTTCGATTGACCAAATTGCCCCCTCGTCAAGCGACATCTGTGCCTTTAGTTCATGGTTCGACAGGCCCGCTGGGACCAACTCCGCCCGACACCTGCTCAGACGACATTGGCTGCGAGCCTTAACTGCTGCAAGCAAACTCCTGCGGCATACACATCACCGGAATAACAAGGCATGGCGGAGAAGCACGATCTCAGAACTGTTCTCGGCCTCCGCACCTTGCGCCTGGTGCCAGAGCTGGGCGTTGCCAGAGGCTGGATCGCAACTTTCCATTCCTCAGCAAGCAGCGTCGAGCCTACACTACTTCTGGAACATCGCCACCACATTGATGATGAAAGGAGAGGTCGTGGTTCCCCCAATGGATTCGATGGGTCCTGTATGCGCGCGTGTGTGTGTGTGTGTGTGTGTGTGTGTGTGTGCGTGTGCGTGTGCGTGTGCGTGCGCGTGTGTGTGTGTGTGTGTGTGTGTGTGTATCTGTGCGCGTGCCTACCGTTAGGTGGGGCATGTCCCCCTACAGGCGGATTTTGGGCGAACGTTCAAGACACATATGCGTCAACAATTACTCCAAGATCGTCGAACACAGACGGGAATCGTCCCCACAATATTGTTCTTACAGATTTTTAAACGTTCCTCCTGTAGAGGGACACGCCCGACTTCAGCCCACCTCTGGATGCACCCTCCTTGCCGTTGCACAGGCCTCGGGCCTCACGGGCCACCCAATCTCTGCAGGCCGCCCCACCCTGATGGCTGTCCCCCCACGCTCCCCCCCGGGCACGTCCCCATGGCGTTCCGGGCGGCACCGCTGGCACCAGCCCCGAAGGCCCCGTACCCATGGCCCCTGTGCAGATTCGCTAGTCCACTCCTGATTGGCCTGCACCTGCCACACAGGGCGTGCCCATGGAAGGGCATTCGTCCTCCTGCGCGCCTTCCAGCTCTCAGCACTGCTGGCTTGACTGCACGTCTCGGTTGTCACCTGCACCTCCGGTTTCCTGCCCGCTCGCCTTGGCTCGCTCCAGATCCTGGATCTCGCGGCTTTGGCTGGAGCGTTTCCGCCACGCCACATGTGAGCATGCAACTATCGTAGCCTCCCGCACCACATTCGACGCGATCGTGCTGCACATCGCCAGAGGAATTAAACTGCGCGTGTGCTTTTCCAGCCCGTCATGGTTTGACTTGAACCGCTGATTGCACTTAATCGGCGCACACGAGGATCATGTGTTTGTGAGAGAGAGAGGGTGAGGGAGAGAGAGAGAGAGAGAGAGAAAACAGAGCAGACAGAGAGAGTGAATGCATGCTGGAGAAGCGCTGCTCGATACCCTCCAGATGTTCGGCACATGGTCGCGCATCCACCCGCGGCTCGTGGAGGGAGGAGAAAAGGGGTGAGCAGGGAGCAGGAGGGATTAGGCAGCAATCTCGAAGAACACACGGCTGCGCTCGCCCACAGAGTACGTTGATGCCGCTTGCCGGGCACACGTGCGGAGGGCCGCCAAACCTGGCTTCACGAGACCCGAGAGCTAGAAAGACATGTGGCCACACTCGCCCATGTCAACCGCGCTGTGTGCCCAACTTCCTGGAATCGAGGGGCACTGAGGAGAATAAACGACGGAGAAAACCGTTTCATCGCCCCTGGCCGAAATGATTACGACTGGGACACCCGCTGGCCTTTGCGAAGTCGCGCAGATTGAACGTGTAGTGCACCTTCATCGGGGTGGGCAGCAACTCGGTGGACGTGCTCTTGTAGATGTCCAAGGTGGCCTTGACGAGCTTCTGAGAAAGCCCCGTGATGTCCGACCCGAACCCGTCCGCCCTCATTTTGCAATCCAGGATTGTGTTGAATATCGCTGACATGTTCTCCTCATCCAGAAGGGGAAAGCCCACCAGGTAGAGCTGGCCTAAGATCCTTGGTGTGACGAACGTCCTTCCGCCGCCAGGCAGCCCCATCGCAAAGAAGAACACAACGTCTGTGATGCTCTTGAAAGGGTGCTTCGAGTCCTTCGTGTCGTACCACCCGCCGCTAGTAGGGTAGGCGATGGTATCCATGGCCTGCCTCAAGATCTCGATTGGAGGTTGCGCCCCAAACTTCTCCTTCACTGGCATGTTCAAGTCGTCCACCATCACAACACATTGCTTACCCATGGGAGGACCGTAAACACCCTTCCTGCGTCTTTCAAGCTTCGCGTCCACCAGAGCCTGGGTCTGTGCACACTTCGTTTGCGCCGAGAAGCCGACGAGGATCTGCATGTACTGCTCCGTGGGCAATTGGTACAACGCCTGCTGCATGTACACCGTCTTGCCGGTGCCGGTCGGGCCGCAGAAAAGCAGCCTGATCTGCGAGCGAACGCAATGGTCCAGGATGTACCTATAGCGTACGCTGTCCACCGTCTGCACCACG